GTAATTAAAAAAACGCCCAGTACTCAAGAGCTCCTCTGGAAGTCATTTTCTGTGTTGTATCTATTACACCTACCTATTTTTATTACATTCAATTTTGAATATTCAAATCTAATGTAATAAAAATAAATCTTTACCTATTTGTTATGTTTCCACGACTAAATGGCTGAACAGATCTTAATCAAATTTATCGTGAAGACCAACTGTACAACAAGAAGATGAGCAATTGACGAAGTCGTGAATATCAACTAGTTAAAATATATTACATACGTTCTCGAAGATAGTTTACATTATACACAGATCTTTCGTGTAGTATACATAAAAAGATCGTAAAAATTAGTCTTCAATATGTCATCATAATTGTATTAAAGCGGGACACAGGAACATAAAATCGTTACCTCTGTCTTGTTATTGGATTCATTCAGGCTACAAAGGCCCAATTACGAGGGGATAGCACGGACTACAAGGTCAATTGACAATCCGCTCAGTGGAATGACTCACGAGGATTTGTATACAAAACTTTATATTTTATCGTGACTTCAAGTTCGTGACTAGTTTTTTTTATCTCCGTAAAAATAAACGAAAATCTTTACTTTTATCATTGTTATTAATGTTTGGTTTCATGTAGCAATATATAATAAATCAACATATTTAATTGGTTAGCTCATAGTGTTTACTTTTGGGGGCAACGTATTTATATACCTTGGTCTATTTTTTTAAGTAGAAGTAGCCCATGTTTGTCCTCCTCATATAATCTATATTTACGTCAACCCGGACGGTTCCGCTATTTAGTCGGTTATAAGATAGATTATAAAGATATTATAGAAGCATAGATTTTCAGGTTCCATTGAGTATTCAATCGATTTCATTTTCTTTTTATTTCCGAAGAAATTTTGTTGTTATTCATTTTTAAAAACATCAAAATACTGAGTACTTACTCGTTAAGTTTAGATACTTAATATGAATAAAGATTGCTTGAATCGACGCTTCTATTAAAAATATATCTCCTCAATTAACGGAATAGGTATAATGAAATGAATATTAGTTGTTCACAGTATTTGATAGTTTATTAGAATTTTTTGTAAAATATAGGAAATAAAATTATGTCCAATAATATAAGATAACTTCGGATAAAAACTAGCAATAAATAAAAGACAACCTATACGATATTCGCAGTCTACTATCTATGAAAAATCGCACTTTTTTAGATCATTTACAACATTATAACGCAGCATGGCGGCTCGCCTCCATTGTCTATTGTGTCCGTAAAGTAAGAATTCGTTCATTTGTGTGGAATGAAGACGATGCTATGAAATATATCATACACCTATTGTCTATCTGCTGAAAATATTACATACTGTAAGATGACGACAAGTAGGTATTCGTCCATGACATTGAGACCAATTTTAAACTGTTATTTATGTTTAAGCTTTTTGTCAAATGTTACTTAAAAAATATTAAACAGCCTGTACAAACGTTAATTTCATATCCTCTCCTCACCCCCTTTACGTAGGACTCATCTAGTTATTGTTTTAAACTCTTCTAATACTGTCTGTTACTACTAATCTATACAGCTTCACCAGACGATTAAAATGAAAATAAAAGCGAGTGCAAAAGATACTTCCCAAAAACTCAAAGCGCGAAAACGCGTAAAGATTTATGCCTGAAGGATACGACTTAAGTCTGATGGCATCGCTAGTAGTTCCAATCTTGGCTCAGGCTCGTAATTTCAATCCCCATTGCAATAAGAAAGGAGATCGCTTGAAGGGGATGTCACATTGTGATAACGATTCTCTACTATGATGGTGATATTCAATAAACGGTAGCAGTAAATATAACTTATTCTTTCAATGTTTTCATCACTGCACATCAGGGACATACAATATGTTATTACTATTGCTAAGGACCAGTAGAACAATACTAATTTTAAGTGAGTTGTATTAAACATTGTATTTCGACCAATATGCCACGTCCACTTTCCACGACTAAACTGATAGTGAAGCGCGCCGTCTATATAATACATTCATTTTGATTGAAAAAATATTTCAAGTGGTTTCAGTAAAGCATTGATAATGTAATTATGATGTACTTTATGTTGTCATCAACGTAAAGTACATCATAATTACATTATAAATGCTGCTGAACAAACATACAAAATTCAAACTACGGAGTCTCTATGAAGACCAAGGTCTTTGACGTTCTAAATGGGATTACTGAATTTTCAACCATGACAGGTGCGACAGAACCCGTGTCAGTTTTAGCGATCTGTTTCGAACTTCTTACTAGTATAACCTGACACTCAGATTAACTGGCATTCCAAATGTTCATGAGCTTTTATTTTGCAAATCATTTTATATTTTCATGATTATGTAATTTAAGTTATTGACGAAGAACTCATCGCTGTAAAAAATTTAGTGGTTCCTTATTTTATTTACCCATATTATTATTAATTGTTTTCTTAAATAAATTAATGAATATATGCAAAATTAAAGTAATTATTTATTTAATTACTTTAATTTTGAAGCGATTAAAAAGAGTTATTAGTTTTGAAAAGATTAAAAAGAATTATTTAATTAAGAATTGTACTGACTACTGTGTCGTCAGTGACTCAATGGTACGCTGTTTACGTAAATGTATACCAAGTTTAATTGTCGAATGAAATTTAATAATGGACTCCTCTAAATTGACTCTATGTACTGGACGTTTCGGATTGTGCCGATACCTAATTTCTCAAATCTACTTATTAGTCATTGATAAAATCAATCGGGATTGCATTGCATATTATCCATTAATATTATAAATTAATAACCCTATTATGTGCCTTTAAAAATGCTTACTTGTCTATTTAAAACTAAATTATTATGTCGATATATTTTTTTAATATAAATCTACTTTCAATTTCGTTATAGTTAAATATAGAAAATAAAATTAAAATAATTATAATAACCCTGGACAATACATACAGCGCCGTCTAATCCCAGGTTAGGCAGTGGTTGTTTTATGTTTAGGTACTAAAGAACTGTTAAAATACTTAAATACATTTTTTGTAGAAATACATGCATAATAAATGTGGAACACTTAAAGAAATAACTTACAAACAATCGTACTTACAAATACAAATGTTCGCGTCCTTGCGAGGGATCGAACCTATGAACATCTGAAGTTAAGCGGTGCGGTAACCGCTGCACCACTGACACCATCTCAGAATTCGGGAGTGCATCTATCTGTCTACAATTGTTACATTTTGTTGACTAAACGTCTGTCCCAATGACTGTGGATATGATTATATTGTTAGGACGGTCGTTCGCTATCTTTTACCTTAAAAAGTATATTTATATATCGGCTCAATGCAATAAAGCTGCTGTATACAGATATATATATCATGGTCAATATTTGTACACAAAGCAATATCTGAGTATACGAATATAATACAATAGCTGGTATTGTGCAAACTAAACCCTAACAAATAGTACGTGACCAATAACAACCACGGCCTCTTTCAATTATGCATCAGATAACGTGATTAATCCTATCCTATAATTGAAAACGTAATGGTTATTATGGATCAAATCAAATTACAGACATCAGTTGCATAAATACATTGCTAGCTATTTCCTATAAATCAACAATAGTACCTATTTCATATACTTACATAATGTGTATATATTAGTGTGAATAGATGATTATGTACAATCATTATCTTATTGTTACCTTTTCACTACGAAACACCTGAATAGATCAAAGAAGCCTCTTTGAAATGAAATTTTACTTATGGATACACTATGGGATAAGTTTTGTTGAAATTTATTCAAACTCATACTTTGGATAGCTTTTTTTTATTCTACCACTCATTCGTAAACCAGATTCAGTTCAAGAAGAACGAAACTTGCCTGTTTATATTTTTAACAAATGTTGTTCCCGTTTTCATTTCATAAGATTTTGTGTGAATACAAACTACTAGATAGTACCAAGTCATAAGACTACAATAGATTAAATAAATATTTAGATACTTCAATAACAAAATAATAATGTTTGTTTTAAACAGAGTAAAATTGTCTCAATAAACCATATAGTTCTTGTTATAAGTAAATACACCTTATTAGTTTACTTAATTTCTGGTTTGAAGCAATATAACCATATCTGATAGTGTGGCGACCGCGGGCACAAGGCCAGACCGGGTCAATTACTAATCAACTCAGAAACAGCCGATCTTTCCAACTGACTAATGACCAATTATTTCAATTAGCTCGTAACTATCTTACCCACATAATTTTGCTCATAACGCTACTGTCTAACTTTAAAAATTGACCTATAGGTATACTAGAACTCGCAATTTACTAATTGTCTTCATAATTGCGACATAAAAATTTAGGATTTCGCAGTCCACTACTGAACATAGGCTATATAGTCTGCAGCACCAGAGGTCATAACTCTAACTACTGAGGGTCGCCGTATACTTCTTAGTAAATCTTCAGTAGAAGCTCTAAAGTAGATCTTTAGGATATGATGTGTATAGTTTATCGACTGCGGTAAGCTGGACTCACACATTCTAACAAGAGGTTCCAAATAAATATATAATATAAATAGAATAGACCGTGTACCAAGCAGCAAACATACGTGAAATACTACGTAATGATAAATATGAAAAATGAACTAGCGAACTTTAATATATACAATAATCTACTCAATATTTTAGTACTGATTGGCAGTCGAGAGAAAAGGACAATAAATAATATGAAAAAAAAGAAATTATCATTAGAACAAAATCTTTTTGGATATTCAATATTATACATTTTCAATTACCCTAGTTTTATTAGCAGATATACGCAAGCAAGAAGGTAATGTAGGTATTTCATATAGGTATAACAAAGCACTCTAAACCTTTTAATCATCAATCACCATCAGTTGCGAAGGAACTCGTGCAAACCAAACCAGTCGTTGTACTGGTCGTAAACCTGAGCCCCACTATACTCTTTACAGAGCACGCGCCAGTCACCGACAGAACGCCTCTGTATACAACCGTATGACGCGCGCGCACCTCACCACCTTTCAAATTCGAACGAATTCGTGACGTGACGTAAAGTGCTGTGACGAATAAGGACGATACTGTATTGATATCATCCATGTTACAAATTAATACACAATAACCTATCACGGTTACGTGCAGTGAAGACATGTGAACACAGTGCGTTACTGGTGCGCTGCACGGCGTTTACCTTTTTATGGTAAGGTAGTAGTTCATAATTTTATGCGTTCATCGACGTTATAAACAACAAAATATGCAAATGTTTCTATAATTAATTACTTTTATTAACATTTTTTGTAAAAATATATTACTAGCTGTTATTATTTTTTACTGTACGTGTTAAGTAAGATTAAAAGTATAGCTAAGTTAAATAATTTTAATTGATTATACTTGACTGTTACTTCCGCGATTATACAAGTCAAGTCTCTATAGAGGTTCATAAATTATAGCTTAAGAGGCGTATACCATACCTACACGTCCGGCAAATATTATTCTGTACTCAATGCATATTGATGCAGGCCACATAACAGCTCCTTACAAAGCCGAGGCGTAACAGTGTATTGCGACACTTCCTGATGCAAGAAACATTTTTTTCTAAGAAACAATGTAACTGAAATATTAGTGTAATTTTTTCTAATCATCACGATTTTCCTCACTCAGCATTGAAAATAATCTGATAGATAAAAAAATCATAAATCACTTCAAACTCTCGATGTGAATAAAATCTGGATTCAATTAATAATATTCTTCGCTGCCTATAATAATATAATTAGGTAGAACATCCTATCGAAACAAGGACACATATGTTTTCAGATAGTCGTCATACGTCAAGTTAATAATTTATATTCTTCGATTTAAGTCATGACCTTGCTGATTTATATTTACTTTTGACACAGTTCTCAGGAAATAAAGTAAAGATATTTATTTTTATTGTTTAGCGTTTACTTCTATAAAATGTGTAGTTACGTAAAATTGTATTACGAATACACAAAATTACGTAGACATTATGGTAGGCAACATTCATTCCAAGATGTTCCAGCTCAAATACTAGACTCCATTAAACCAAATATATGTCATCAAAGAGATTATATCCTCAGAAATCCTGTGAATCGTGAAGTGCAAGCGACATTACCGCAAACACAACATGATATAAATACAAAATCACTACTAACTCATGAGCAAGGAATAAATCATACAGAAGGTGGTTGGCCACGCGAGGTTCACTTACATAACGAAGAACATTTGATGCGACACCGTCGTAGAATTATACATGAAGATAACTATGTGCATACAGTTCTGAATTTGGTACCGATGATGGAGCATTATGTTGATCAAAATAATGCTATCAATATATATGAAACATACTTCGATGATATGCAATCACAAGAAGCTGTTGAAAAGTACAACATTCGGGTTACAAATGTATTTCGAGATTCTTTCAAGCGGCCTATCTCATGTATAGCTTGGACAAATGAAAAAATACCTAAAATAGCTGTATCATATTCAGATAGAACATGCAACTTAAATTCCTATATCTATCTGAATAATGATTGTTACGTATGGGACATTTGTAAACAAACTGAACCAATCTCAAAATTACAGCCAGATAACCCTTGTTGGCAATTGGCGTGTTCCCCCATACATCCGGAATTAGTTGTAGGTGGTCTGGTTAATGGAATTGTAAATATATTTGACATTAGAGAAAGCACTAAAGTTATATCAAGGAGTATAGTTTATAACTCTCACCGAGAACCTATAACAGCCTTACTTTTTACACTCTCTCGTACCAATACTGAGTTCTTTACCGGATCCCCTGATGGACAATGTTTCTGGTGGGATTTACGAAATCTATCAAAGCCATTAGATCAAGTACCAATATCTGTAAGAATTCCAGTTGGGCAAGAACCGAATTTGAATAACGCTGAAGGTGTGAGTTCTTTAGAATATCATCTTGGTTTACCAACGAAATTTCTTTGTGGAACAGAGTCAGGTCTGGTCATTAACGCTAATCGAATGGGTAGAAGTCATTCTGAAATCTTATCGTCATATTGGAATGCACATTCTGGTCCTGTTCGTGCAGTACATCGTAGTCCATGTACACTTAGAATGTTTTTAACCTGTGGAGACTGGACAGTGCGTCTATGGAGTGAAGAAGTTCGCACTGCACCCATAGTAGTAACAAAGCCATATAATAATGAAGTCACTGATGCTTCTTGGACACCCTTAAAATTTTCTAGCTATATGTCTATCTGTGCAGGTGGTATTTTTTACTACTGGGATTTTCTTCGTAAATATCGTGAGCCTATAGCTACTCTTAAAATCTCTAAACATCAACTTACAAGGCTTACTTGTCATCGTGAAGGCGAATCAGTAGCCATTGGAGATGTAAATGGATCAGTATACTTGGTACAGTTATCAGAAAATATGATTATACCTGGAAATCAGGATAAACACCTTATGTCACAGACATACGATCGTGAGACTCGACGTGAGCATATTCTTGATGCGCGTTTGAAAGAAATTCATTTAAAAATTCGGACAGAAGCAGAAGTAACTACTGCACCAACGTCTAATGAGAAGTCCAATGAAGATGAATTAATTCAAACAGCAGAAAAACAATATTTTCATATCGTGAATAATGAATTACGTCAAATGGAAACAATATCAATGCATAGTAATGAATCTATCACATAAATTTAATTCGGTAATAAAACTTGGAATAGATTTAAAAAATTTATTTTTTCTGATACGTCTAGTAGTCGTAGCCATACACATACTTACTATATAAATCATAATATTCTACATATCTAAAATCGATATTTTGGTCTATAATATATACGTTCAAGTAATTTAAACATTTGAGGGTTCAAACCGGATGTTTTGTCGAGACGCCCGCATGTTTTTCCTAAAGATCCGACTAGTCAGCGGGAGTTGTACTCACCGATATAACTGACTGCCAAATATATTGTGACCTTTCCTTTCAAGTTTCAATACTTCTCTGTGATACATCCTACATGGTTGTAAGGAGGGCAGAGGGGATCTCATTAGAATGGCTGCGTAAATTACTACTGCCCATGAGTTGCGTGAACACAAAAGTGCGTCACTAGCAACTTTCACCGCGAGTAGCTTCGACCACCGTAGCGCGTTCATAGACCGTCATGCAACAGCCTCGTTTTCATTCCAGGTTTCAAATTACTATTTACATATTATAATACTTAGTACTTACATAGAAAACTTACAAATGAGTCCTTGTATCAACCACGGCATCGATATCAGATATCCAACGAATACACACTAAGTTAAAAGTGTTTGTATTGTAAAGTTATTCAAACACAGTTCATCTAAATTTATTATGTTATTTCTTTATCTATTATTTAGGTATTACTGATGATATGTATATAATACAAAATATCTATTGTTTTATAAACATCCGATTCATACAATAATTACTATGGGATCACCAAAAACTCAAACAACAAACTGCAATAAAAATGAGAATCTTCTCCTTTTAATGATAACAGAAATTATGTGTATCAGAGATTGTAAATCTCTCTATTCCTTAAAATTTCCATTCGCATTTTATATTACTTTTACCGTAGTACTTTATAATGTAATCTGTGCTTTTAAAGCTGTTTTCTACTAAAGAGAAAAAATAAAAAATATAATTGTTACACCTTTTTTAAAATCGTAAAATGTTAAAGAAATATAATTTTATATTAAATCTACAATTTAAAATGTAGAGCTAATCTGAGGATACAATGAAACTTTTGTATCTTTTTTAAATAAAACGCACTGATTAGTTTGTGGAACAAAACTGTAATTAAATAATTTAGGACTGTAAAATACAAATAATTTGATTTGGTAAAATAAAATAATGAATAAATTTGTTGTTTTAAGTAAATCCTTTTGTTCATACAATTTATACCAACTTACTGTATGGATATTAAGAACGATTGAATCATCAATGTAGAAGCGAGACTACGAATACTAATCATTACTAAGCAAGTATTTATGTAGGTAGTACGTCTGAGTAACATTATATAAAAATCCGCACTAAGAATATAATTATGACCAATTATTCTTTATTTTTCCTCTTGTTATATTTAAATTGTCTACTTTACCTAGTTCGTACTACTATATTAGTTCCGTTGTAGTCAGTTTTTGTTTAAACAACAACATTTTAGCCATTTAAAATGTTATTACTACATAATCTAACACCCTTGCTAACTTTAATAATGTGATTTGCCTACTTTATCCGTCCTGTTTTACACATAGTGAATGGAAAATGAATAGTGATAATACTTATATGTAAAATATTACATAGGAGTACATAATGTAAATATTTGCCAACGAGAAGTACATGACAACCGGCCCCCACGACACTACAATAAATATACCTAGATACTAGTACGGATCAAATCGATCTATGCAACCGAAATTGCGTTCGGTTGCTGGCTGTATACTGACAATAGAAGTTCATATTCAATTCCATACGTATACTTTACAGATATATGTGCGTATTTTGTATCGCTACAGAAGACTAAAAAGGCATAATAAGTGGATTATATGACGAGTAGGTCAATTGACCTATCATAGCGAATTCACCAGGGCTATAGTTTCCATAAGGTTTGACATGGTACATTGATAAAATATCAAAAAATCGTCATTGCCAGGCTCTAAGCATCTAGGTATATGGCATTGTATGGAGTTTTCTTTCGCTTGCTCTATATAACTAATATTTGTTTAATTGTAATATGATGTTGACATCGCAGAAATGACAAGTAGTGGTATATTCATAGCATAGAATATTTTTATTCCAACTGACACAGATAAACTAAAATGAGGGGTTTTCCCCGTGCTTAATCAATAGTTAGTAATAGCAGTAACACGGTAGAGTTACAAAAATAAGTAAAATAAACTGTCATGCATAAGTAATTGAAGCTGATATGAATAAATGCCTTTAAATTCGAATTTTGCACGTGTAGATGCTGAAATTATGATAATTCAATTTGTCGTTCCGAATCTGTATCTCGGAGAAAGTATCTGTGACGCACACCAGTATTTCTAACTTGACAAGTCATAAACTTTGTTCTTATGATCTCCGTTTTGTTACTGCTTTATTTCCGCGCATCACCAACAAAACAAGTTTAAAAAAGTCACGATAATGTACAAGTAAAGTTAGGGTAAAGGTTTGAATGTCAAACGTGCAACGAGAATTAGTAACTTCACTTCACTTGGGGCTTAGATTTTACATATTTTGTTCAGCAAATATTACTATTCATTTACAGTATATATGTATAATTTATACAGGTACATGTATGCCTATTATAGGCATTTAGACTTTTTTGTAGACAAGATGTACCCATCTTCTTCTCTGTATGGATTTGTAATGGCTAACGGGCTCATTAAATCACAACCTACTCACTGTCGTTAGCAACATACAATCTTAAATATTTTTACCTTTTATTGGGCGCATTTCTTTAGAAAATGTTCCTAGTGGTTATGTTGATATTAACTTAATAAACACAATCAAAAATTCACCTAAATTTACATTTTTATTAACAACCTGACAGTACTTTTCTAATAACTAACCACTTAACTTAGCGTGTCAGTAATTAACAGAAGCTCACACACACTTGAGTTGTACCTATATGTTCGACAAACATGCGTGCATGTGTGGGCGTTAAAACCTCCGCGGTTATCGAATGCCAATGTCAACTAATTTGCAAACCCGTCGATACTGTTATGTCGGACTTGAGACCGCTGGACGAGACAATTTGACCCACATCAGTAGTAAACGTGTAAATTATATACACCAATAAACAGTTTATGACTTTAATAAATAAAATCACAAAATAGAAAAAAAATAAGTTTTGCTTTGCTGATTTTGTGATGTAACTGTGATGTTTGTAATGTAGGTTATGGACATAATTAAACTAAAATTAAAATTTATTTTATATGCTAATTAATACCTTGTAATTTGCATAATTGCATACGTTAATGTTTCCTCAAAGGAATTTCTTAACTATATATATATATTTTAAACGGTGCGCTAAATTACTTGATATACTAAGTAAATGCACTACTAATATGTAATACTTTTTGGTGGTAGTAGGTAGTACTACTCACTAATTATTAACTCTTACAATTATACAATTATATACTTACAATTATTAGTATAATAATAATAATTTCTATATTGAGTTCATTCACCTAATTGAGTTCAAGTTACATTATTTATTTTATAAATTATTTATAGGCCATATTTATAGTTATTGTTTAAAATATAATATTTTTGGCTTATCATAGAAGTACCTATATATAATACAATACAAATCATAATTTACTAAACTGACTGCATTTAAGATAAATTAGTAGCTAATATCATAAAAAGAGTAAGAAGATATACCAATATTATATTTCATAAATATATAATTTTTGGACAGTGTCACAATGGGCACCACTATGCGATGAGGCGCTTGGCGCTGGTGACTCTTGGTCTGCTGCTGACGGTATGCACGGCGGCCGCACAACTCCGTCCAGCCGACGCACCAACCGCCGATAACGACACACGTGAGTGAGTTTATGAGTATACAACCTGACCTAAAAATAATCTACCTTACTAAAGGGACTGCGCTGATAAAGACTACTTGTCCTTTGAAGACAAGTTTACGTCTTGTTTTAGGCTCGAATGGTTTCGATCCTGTGTGAGTTATGTAATAATAAAATAAGCGAGAACAATTCACACAACGCCATTTAGTCCCAGGTTAAGTAAAGCTTGTATTATTGGTACTAGACAACAGGTTGAAGTATTTAAGTACTTTTTTTATATATACACGTAAAAGTGTGGACTTAACTCGTAAAGTACCTACCTACAATTTTTGACGAACAGAATCCTCTGTGGATTATTTCTGCGGTATAGAATAATAACAATTATAGGTGTATTTATGGCTTGAATGTAGTTCCATAGAATTTCTGATATATGTACCTACGTTTTCCAAGAAACACAGCTTAGGCTACAGTATCGATTTACTACAAATATCAAAAGTGACCGAAGAATTCTTATTTGCGTTCATTGTGTTTAAGTGTTTAAAAAAGTAACTTAATATGATATATTTTGTTTCAAACTTGTGGAGTTCGAACAGTGAATTTTTTAAACAGTACCAAAACGATAATAGTACGCATTATATTCGTTCTATACATACTATAAAGCATATTTATGTAACAAAGAGAATTAAATTATTATTGAAAGATTTCAAACAAAAGAATAATAATATTTTTATCAGCACTATCAACAAGGATGTTTTAATACTGCATGTTTATACAGCGTGCAAGTGTAATGTTAAACAATTTAAAGTCATTCGGTGCAGCTTCCCAACCTATCAGCTAAATGTTCATGCTCTTGTGATATCTCCAAAGGTCAAATGATAAATACTGTTACTAAATTAATTATAAAACAAAATGTTACTTTATAAAAACACAAGGTGATTACCTTCTGAATTTATCATTGTATGATTATACAACCTATACGTACTATAAAAACTTAGTCACTACTAGAACCAAGCTAGTCATGTAATTTACAGCAACAGTATGGATTAGTAATTAATAGTAATTATCAGGTCTATTAGATACTGGGGTTCAAACGCCTAGGCAAAACGTATAATATACTTACTTTGAGAACAAGGACAACATTACTTTGTAACCTGTACATAAAATTATAAGTAAGAAGTCCTAACATAATATTTATAATAGTTATCTAGTCTCAAATTAAACGCAATTTGTACTTTGTGAATTATAAAATTACGTGTAAGGGCCTAATTGCAAAATAAGTACTTGTTTGAATTTACATTTGTGTCCTATTCTTTAAATGCACCATACAAGTTATGTCATAGAAAAAATCATCGTCATCCCTAAAATATTCAAAGATTATATTTATGTATTTTATTATATATTTATATTATATATTTGAGTATACTCAAAAACTTAAAAGTAGGTACTTGCCAGCACTATAGATATCTTACGAAGATTTTTTTAAGTTTCCTAAATATATCTTTCAAAATTTTTATTCAGCTCAAACCAAAACACAGGTACGTTCTTTTAACATCCTACCAGAATCATTGAAACCGTATATTGGGTTGGAACCATACTAAGTGTCTGGCAATGAGCAGCGCATGTTATAATACTGTTACAAGCAATATATGAAAAAACTGAGTTTCATAAATTAACGAATTTGATATGAAATTGTATACACCGTTGTTACCAATATACCGTTTAAATGATTCTGGTAGGATGTTAAAAGAACATCGCGTACCTACAGCACAATAATGAAGTGACCCTAAAATTACAAACCTTGGAGAGTCCATTCTATGTTTTAACATTAAATTCTAATATCAAATTTAATTTAATTTGAAACAAAATCAATTTTATTTTTAAATAATCCAGTATTGTACAAGGTCTGGCATATATGACTTTTGTATAGACGGAATATTGGATCTTACTTTAGCAATAGCATATTGAACAACCCAGCAAGTAAACTACTTACATTAGTAACAAACAATCACATCGAAATTGTCATGTCGACCAGGGATGTCAACCGTACCCCAGTACATGTAAAGATTTTTGGTACCAGGAAATTCATTCTTATACAAGTATGTGTGACGTTTTGATTTACGAAATACGATGATGTATAAAAATATTGACTTTGAAAATTTTTGACTTCTTGTTACGAGATTAAATGTTTAAAAATTGACAACCCTGGTATTGTCTATAATGTTGCAATTAATCTACAAAACATACTTTGTTTCACAATAACTGAACCATATCTTACGTGCATGTTTATGCAAGTGCAAACATAATTACTGTTATGACACGTACACAAATCTGCTACCCACCCAGTATTATAAGTTTATTATGAAATGATATTTTAATTTGTAGATACCATATTTTGTCTCTCGTAACTATTAGCCAATTCATTATTTTTCCGTTAATAAATACCCAATATTACTCAAGACAATTTACGTAGCACTATCTAGTCCAAAGCAAAGTAGAGCATACAATAAATAAGAAACAATCATATTCATTAATACAAATATTGTTCGAGGATGCGAACCGATCGATCATCGAATATAAGGTACTGTGCTTAACCGCTAAATCAACGAGACCGTGCATATGAGACCATAATATACTGATATCAACAACAATTCTTTCAATGCCCGTTGCTAGTAACAAAATGAAATTATCAGGTACCAATTACTTTAGAAGTAATTTATATGTCAAAAACCTCTCGAGTTTTATCGAAAACCCTTCTCTATAAAGGCAATCGAATATACTTGAACAAAATACAGTGACCATTCAATCGTTTAGTACCGTTAATTTAACTGCGCCACTCTAATCGCATATTGCTCGCACTTTCCCTTTGAAAGTACCGAATAATACGCTAAGTCAACAGTGAACACAAATTATTTTTCAAGTCATCATATCAGAAGCAATTGAAAAATGTAAACATACACAGATTACTCAATAGAAATGCAGTGTTTTATTAGGAAAGTTCGCTTCGAGTGGCGAACGTTAGGTAATTACAATTAAAAACCTTAATGATGTACTTTCATAACTATTTCTTTGTTTTATAAAATTACAGCATTATATGTCTTATCTTTATACCAAGTTCTTTATAGAATAGACAGAAAAATATCAGTGTATATGTTTGAAGACTCTAATCTACTAACTCATATTCCTGTTCAGAAGCAGATAATACATAAGGAGCATGAATGAAATGGAACTTATGTTGATGCAATTTTAGATGAATCCGATTTTATAGGAAAGGTTAATGTTTCCCAACAAAATATCAATATAACAATTTACGCAATGTAATAACAAAGTGTGGGAGTGGTAAAATTTGTTATTCACCATTTGCCACATTTGTTCTGTGTTCGAATAAACGTGCATCGCTATGCATACATTACGCCCAAATACAGAATATTAACATAGAAATTCCAATATGGGTATCGAGTTGGGTATTGAGGAATCCAAAACAATGGAATGATTTAGGTTAGATTTTGAAATACAGAGTGTATTTCAAGCAGAACTTATAATAATATAGAATAGAATAGTTTCCCTATGCAATATCCATGTGAACAAACAGTATGTGGATTAGTACATTATGCCTTATATAATTGTAATTTTGAAACTGAAATTCTGAACTTGAGAGTTGGAGCATGACCTGCGGCCTGATTATGTAACGTATGATTTTCTAAAATTATCTCACCTAAACTAATATCACCAATTAAGTACTCTACTCTCACATTACATATTATCACAATCTTTGTTTGTTCTTGTACAAACTTTATCACGATTATACTAAAGACTATATCTAAAGTAAAAAATCCACTCAAAAGTTCTTCGTCGATTGCTTTACATAAATTTTTAGTACGTAATCACAAAGAATTTCGTCAGCCGCTTTTTAGTAGAATTAATTAATTCGTTCTCTAAGCTAAAAATTAAAGGAAACATGAATGACTGAATGAAAACTTTTTCTTGTTCCCTCAAAGATAGATAAAATATTATGTAGATGAGATACAAACACTACATATATAATAACGCTAAGAATTAACAATGAATGACCTTATCATTATCACTATGTTTCCGAGCATATCTTGGATGCGTAAAAGATAGAAGTATTTAGACTGGTAACTCTGTAAACACAAAATGGACACTTTTTCTGCTGTTTATGAAATGATTTTCAAAATAGGAATATAGGTAATATTTATACAAACTTCAAGCAATTATCAATACCCACCTGAAATATAGTTCATATTATTAGGTGACAATGTTGCTTCCTCTAAGTAAAAGAATTAAAAAAATGGGACAAATATTTTTTTATCTATTCATTACAAACAAAAAGACAAAATATTATGTTTAAACACTCCGTACACCTTTATGAGAAATTTAATAATAGTAGTTGAATTTCCTTACAATTCTCCTTAATTAATCTAACATTGTAGACTAGCCGAAAAGGACGCTAAGTGTAGCGATAAAAAATATTTGGCATGCATTAGTAACAAAATATATCCAATATGATATTGGATATAATTTGTTAATATCCAGTTCCGCTAAACCATATTTATTTCAACAACAAACAAACAATGTATTTTTTTATTTTCAGGATGTGGTATAGAATGTGTAAGGTGTGCAGCGGACGGGTGTGTGAAGTGCGCTCGCCTACTCATATGGCCAGAAGGTACCTGCGCTCACGACTGCCCTTCTGGTACCCGCGAGTCATGGGCGCACGATGACCACCTCATGGGCCGAGTCTGCTATCCCTCACACACATATAGCGAGGTCAGTAGTAACCATTATTAAATGAATAAATTAAATATTTATTTGTAATTATGCATAATACCACACTGCACCATATTCATATGAAAAGTGTAATATAAATAATAGAAGTAAAAGGATTATTTCTTCTCGAAAGAACACATATAATGTTGTAGTTATATAATATATAACTACAACATTATATGTGTTCTTTCGGAAGGATGTAGTAGTAGTTTGAACGAAATTACTGACTAACTGTATACTGTGATTCCTACTGTCCAGTAAAAGGGTCATCAGACATACTGCTTTCCAACCCTGACCTATAAAAAACATAGAATTTTGTAGTAGGATACTACATATATGACTAACTAATAATTCTTAAATAAAAATCTTAGTAATCTAATGGTTAGGCATGCTGTTTCTTCTTCCAATGGTTGCGGTTTTATTCACCGCATAGTACAAATATTATTTTTAGGAATAACTATTTATATCGATCTTGATATTTATCAACAAATTTACAAAAAAAATCTGAAAGAAAAACATTTTTACATTGTTCTAAAAATATTCTGTTTCAGGTTTGATTTACTCGTATATAACACAAAAAAAATATATATTTAATTCGTAATGAGTCTCTCAAGTTGTCACAATTATTTACTTTACACATATGGATACTTTCTGCATAGATAAGATAATACTTTCTGTGTGTGTAACGTATTCCCATGAGATTAGTTAAAATGCTATTCGTTTATTTGAACAATATTAATTATTACATTTATATTAATGTGTAATTTAATGTTGTGAGATTTGCTACCAAATCGCAATAGAGCATTTGGTCTAAATTCATATCCGTATTCATAGATTTGTAGATTTAGATAGTATTTTTAGATAGTAGGTATACCTAAGCGTGGTGTAAAATCGTCGGCTGTAGTAATAGATACAGTAACTTGATAGTAACTAATCAATTTGAAAACAAAGTTTTTATATTATCTTCTATATATAGGCGAAAAGTTCTATCACATTGCTAAATTCGATTTTAATGTCAAGTACGCAAGTATGCTAATAGAATGTCAACACCTGCCTCAGTGAATGTGTTTTTAATAGCATTATAAGTATATAATGAGATGTTAATAACGCTTATAATGGTGAGGAAGAGCCTTACATTATTTGTTGTACGGCATTGTTCGAAACCTTTCTCGCTAATGTGTTTTGTTATTTTGTTCTACGCATATACCTAATGAATCTTGGTTAAAGATATTCATTACACAGCACATTTTACTAGCGTTCTTTCACATAGTACATATACTAACGAATAATATATGCGTTATATTTCTAGTAGTACTATACTCTAAAGTTAATATTAACATTAGAGTTAAAAGCAGTATCCAAAATTCGTTAGTTTTTATTTTTATTTATTCCCACGGATCCATGTAGCGCTTATTATTTATAGGCCCATGCGTGTAATAAAATATTATAAATGTATTTGTAACCGAATCCAAGATGTATAAATCTTGACACCCTGAAAACTTGTTTTTAAAAATATCTTCTAGTGAATATCACTTGAAGTAACATCTCTTGTTATAGGTATAATGTAGATAATAAATATACTGTATACTAACTAGAACTATAAATACGTTTAATAATTTTTTTTTATTTAACAATGTCTGACGTATTACGTATTATCTACTAAACACATGAAGTTCTATCTATAAACTTTATCTTAAATTCAATTCAATTAATTTCGTTCCGCCTGACAGCAGAGTGATTACAAATACAAATATTCATGGCAGCCAACACATCAAAATTTAAACAAATGCATTTTAGATTATAAACGCGACCCTAATGTCTTTGTTACGCAACCCAATGTGGATGAAGCTACTTTGAAATTATTAAATAACAGTAATTACCTAATATTTGTAACGTATTAAGAGATGTCTCCATATGTGTACTTTATAGGTTTATATTCAACGAGCGACTCGTCCCGGCTTCGCACGGATTTATTACAAATCTTTGAATTCCCTGGCTTGTTCTATACTATAAGACGTATGTATTATACATATAAAACTTCCTCTTCAATCTCTCTATCTACTGCTGAAAATACATTAAAATCCATTATGTAATTTAAAAGGTATAAGCGAAAAAACGAGGCGGCTACTTTGTTTTTTACTATGTATATAAAGAACTAGTTGTGCTCGTGACTTCGTCCGCATGGAATAGTGACCTTGGATGTCATAAAATATTTAATAACATCTTACCCAAAAAAGTTTCCTGCTTCAAAAATGACGAAACTCCATAGAAACTTTCATTCCCTATTTTATTTTTACCCCAAATAAGAGTTATTTTTTTCAAACTGTATGTCATATTTAATCTAAAAAACAATCTTTTTTACTATGTTATATACATAATATATCTAAGAATAATGAAGTAGGTAATGCAATGCATTAAGTCTAAAATGTCTGGTTTTTTATAATTAACCAGAATAGGTATACTACTTCATAAATATGATATAAAAACAACAATTTAATTAAATTATAACGGCGAAAGTAATAATATTTGTGAGTGTAATGTTTACTTGGTATTCAGGTATTAGTCGGCGGTGCGTGTGGTGCAGTGGCGTGCGTGGCGCTGGTAGCCGCGGGCGCCGCGTACGCACGCTGCAGGAGCGCGCGCTCTCACCCACGCCCCCTGCCGGCGTCGCACCACGACGATGACACGCGGCTCAGGGAATTTCACAAGCAACTCGACTGCTTACGAGTGAGTAATTACAATGGAGAAATCAATTCTAGTGTCACTTTACCATGTCCGTTTCACCGGCATCGGTTTACTTCCGATGGTTGCGGGATTAATTTCTCGTACATGGCAAACATTTGTTGTCATCAGTATGATTATTTGTAGTAGTCCCAGTTTCAAGTAAAAATTCATTCTTAATTTGTTCAAAATAGTCAAGATTATTTGACGTTTCGACTAGTAGTCCCAGTTTCAAGTAAAAATTCATTCTTAAGTAATCAAAATAGTTCGATATATTTTGGATCGTTTGGTTCGGATTTGGTTCAGCTTGGAACTAATGTCGGTGCGTGAATTGTCCTGAAATATTTTATAATTACTTGCCTTATACTATTATTTAAAATATAAATTACTTCGATACATTTAGAATATCTTACTTTCTCTTCTCTCTGCGACTATCTTAATTATATTGTAGAATTTATTTAAAGTAAACAATTCGTGCCTTTTTCTGTTATCATGTACATGAAATGCATTAAACCTATTTTAGTCATACAGCATTGTTACTGCCAGTGCAGAACACGTAGTTTCTTTTGTCTGACGGTGTGCTTATTTCCTACTTCTATATACCTAAATAGTGTCAGAAAAAAGTTTTTGCTCCAAAGTATCGATTATTATACTATTCATATCTAGTTAATTGACACATTCAGTTTATCTTTACTTACATTTATGTACTTGATGTTTGTAGGTATACCTACTAAATTAAGCATAGGTAGGTACTATGTTTTACTACAATATACTAATATTAGTAATATAATGATCATCATTAATAGATACCTAATTGTTTATCTGGTCATACAACTATTTATTGTTCATACATAATTCATCTGTGACATATCTAAGTAAAAAAAACAAGAATCTTATCATTTGTTAAAAACTTAATTCCAGCTATATAGGTAGGTAGATATTTTTCACTTATAGGATGATATAGGTACATTAATAGTTTTTTCCTTTAAACTTTTTCGATTACAGATTTCTTCATACCGACTAAGTTACTAAAAGTTTTATGGAATATTTAATGTGTGTGTATCAATAAATATATAATTCGTACATATTACATAAGCGGTCATCGCCACCAGTAATTTATGGTTTGTGTAGTAGATTCTATTCTATTATTCTTTTATTATTTATAACTATATTAATTTTTATTATTATATATCTAACATTGTTATAAATAAACCGCAAATGTTGCACTCTTTACTTATGTAGGTGTACCATGTTTTTTTTATCTCATATTTATAAATTGTGGAATTTTAAAAAGTAACTAGTTTTTACACTTAGTGTAATTTCGCATAGTTAAACTGTTGTTAAATTGTAAATAATAAATTAAATAAAAAAATGTACCACACAAAATTATTAGAAACTAGCTATTCGCCCTGGCTTTGACTGGGTGGAAGGCTTATGTATTATATACATAAACCTTCCAATTGAACCACTCTATCTATTAAAAAAAATCGCTTCAAAATCAGTTGCATGGTTTTAAATATTTAAGCATACATAGGGACGAACAGAGAGCGACAGCGACTTTGTTTATACTATGTACCTAATGATATAGATGTGCACTTAATAACTAAAAAGTTAAGCAATCATAATAAATATATTTTGTAAACATTGAGTTACATTCCGGTTATCTCACATCTTAAATATTGTATGTACCTATATATGTATCTACATACGTATAAGTAACTGGTTGTTATCATCAAAAACTTCTCTCCAATTAATACAAGTTTAACACTGCGTGAAACATGCGAGATAATGGTTGCGTATTGTTTAGAGAGCAAGCTTACACGGTCGTGCCAGTCTCACTTTCGAAACCTACGTGAAATGCGAGCAGTGAGATTGATTTCTTGTGCATACACTGTCAATAATGATACATAAATTAAACATGTTTTTTTAAGTATGTTTTTCCCTCCTTTTATTTCATTCTAGAGCTGTAACAACAGCGCAATAAACTGACTGTTCATATAAATAATATTGACAGAAAGATACTATCTAGTTCTTTATTTAATGCTTGAATATGGAAATGTGTGGCCGTTTATGTTAATGGTGTATGCTTATTAGGTGCCAATAGAGAATGAGAGGATGAGCACAAAGTCATGTTTAGTAACCCATCGTAGCGAATTCACCATGAATTAACTACGATGGCTTGCGGTTTGACCGCCATGAGTTCGATCTATACGGCTTCTTTAATACTCTGCATTGAAAATATTAATATACTAATAATAATTACAACCGTTGTATTCGAGCAACCTATATCTAACCTATATAATTATCAAGAAGGCTTTTTATTTAGCTGGAATTACAAAGTATATGCCCAAGCCGACCAGGTATATATATAGACATATATAGAGCAGCACTCTAATGTGACGTGAAAACGTAAACAAATAATATAGATGTGGTAACTTTGAATGAAACGTCGTGTCATTTATGTTCGTATTTTCCAGCCTCATGCGTATACGTTGCTGGCAATACTGAACCATACACGAAACCAGGTGCGCGAACTTTACCAATTAGGAAATAACGACGCTGCGATGGCTTACAGGTATTAAATATCTTACTAATTTCTAATTAAAGTTATACCACAGTTCAGTGGAGTCACATTCGTACTAATTAAAGTATACAGTTCCGCAGATTTCAACGAGAGATAAATTTGTTTTATCTTTCTATATTAGTAAATCCAAAGTATATACATATATATCAATATTGATTATTTATGTAAACTACTGCACTGCTAAGATTTTACTTAGGTACTCATAACTTTGCGAGTTTCAAATATATTTATCATAGTATATATAATATATATAATGTATATAGTATATGTAGAAGTAATATACCTACCTATCCTGTAGTGAAAGATTCTTAAATCGGTGTACACGTACAGGTACAAGAGTCACATGGTAACAAAATCTTCCTTTGTATGACATTTATAATACAGATAAGAATTAGGAGTTATTTAACACTTTCTTCTACATAGATAGAAGAAAGATAAAAAGATCTTATAAAAATATAAAATTATATTTATGGAACTATCTAACAATTAATATATTATCAGTACAAACTTTCAGATAATCTATATAACTTAGCTCTTTATAGCCAAACAACTGCATCAACGTTCAAAGAGTCAATATAGACATTGCAAGCGCTTGTTTGTTAGTATAATCGTTTAACTACTAACATCTAATAATAGCTTCCGTTGCAGCTGCGTTCTGAGCGACCTGGCGAAGCTACTCATTCTACTAAACAAGCAACAGGTACCAGTGGTTCCGGACGAGTGGCCGCGCCTTGCAAGTTGGGCTGAACGGTAATGTACACATTATTTGAACTTTCCATTAGTCTCATCAAAGATAACAATATTTATTTACAGTCTAAAAGCGTGTATTTCCGTTGTACAAATTAAGTTATGATTTCTTTCAATTGTTGTGTCTCTACTAATAATTTAAAATAAACCTGCTATGGTAGATAGAACCTGTAACAACTCTACCATAATTTTTTTCTTGTTCTCTTTTTAATAGTGGAATATTACAATTTTAAACAGTTTACTAAAGAAAAACTTTTTATAAGTCATGGCTACTTCCCTGGTATCTTATAAATCTGCCACTATGCATGCATTCCATCAGAGGGTGAGTTATAAGTTATAACAAACAAACATAACATTAATAACTAAATATGCGCTCAGTGATATCCATGATTGTGATCATACCTTTAGATTAGTAGTACGCAATCTTAAATTCAGTCATTACATCAATGTCCACTTAGACGTAAGTGCATACAATTTGGTAAAATCACTATTACTTACAAGAGTATAAAAAATATTAATAAGACATTATTTTTCAGGATTCTCAAAAGGTACAGTCGTATTGATTCAGTTCAACCACAACAAGAAGGACAATTGGTGAATTTTCTAACAGCCCCACCGAGTCAGACCTCCGACTCCGAAGGTACACACCAATCCTTCTCTACTTTCAAGCCTCCATCCTACTCCCCCTCTTCATACCACAGCAACATTGACAAAGAGACGGACAGTCAGTGCGAATGGAGTGATGTAGGACGACCACCAAGTTATACGCAAATAGAAAGAGAAAGAGACGCAATAGTCCTCTCTGACCCGTGGGAAAGACGACCTATAGTGAGGAGAGAAAGCATATGGCTAGAAGATGAGCTGTTCGAGATGACGAGGCGGCCACAGGACGAACTTACTACCGAATTATAGATACTGCAGAATTATTCGTATTCCTCGAATAACAAGTACAAATAGATTTTTATAAACTATTCTTTAAATTTAAAGTTTTTTAAATACCTACAACAGTATGTATTATCGCCAAAATATGTTTACTTCAAATAATTAAATAAACGTGTGTTCTATTATAATTTTAAATTCTATTGACTAATTTTAAAATTGTATTAACTGCCAGTAATAACTAGTTATAAACCAAGCAAAGTTAATAACTACATAATTCAAAAACACACAAACGTACTTAGACTTAGTAATTACTTGTTCAGTGTTCAATGTTTTCAATCCAAAATTATGTATATTATGTATATACAGGGGACCTATTGCGAATTAACAAATCGCAGATATAGACTTTTTTTACTACGCAAAAAAAAGGTTTTGTTCGTTTGCTATGCACTTTTTATTAACTATTTATTATGTCTAATATGTTAAATTAGGTACTCTAAACAACTTAGATGAGTGAGACAAATCACTTGAAATCGAAAAACTAGATCAAAATATCTAACGAATTCGGATATTTCGTATTTCCCAGTTGGGCCCAGTTCATTATATATATATACATCCATATTATATATTTGTTTTTAGTCCCTGGCATTCCCTGGCATATGCGTTATTTTGTATTTTTGTTCTGAATGATGACCAATGGTGGTGCTATCACACAAAATATAATTGGAGTGTTTTAGTCTTCTTAACTGTAAATACTTTATAGATTAAGTCGAACTAAAGATGTTCGTATATTATTTTTAATAATAATACCATTCCGTACCTGTATGTAATAAATAGTACGTATATTTAAGTATACAAAATGTAGAGCTGAAGTTACATATAGAGAAATATTTTTAATTAGCGTACTACACGTATGCAATATATTTAAAAAATCAATTAAATTATTATCGTAATATATTATGTAATTACTACTAAATTTAATTCTCATTACAATATTTAAAATTTTTATTTCAATTAATGGATTACAAAATACTATTAATACAATAATATTGAAATTATTTAAGAAAATGGGAAATGCACCTTATCTGAAAATTAAACCAAAGTAGCTGTTAAGTTAGATGTCTAGTCTTGTATATAGATTTAACTAGTGGTAATATAGTTAGATATGTAATTATCTATATTTCATATATATTTACTAAAATTAATAAGCATTTTTGTATATAAACACATAGGATCACTTCCTATGATATTTTTACATTGTATACAAAAAAATAGTCACATGTTCTCCATAATATTGCTAGCTTTATAATATGGCTTCATATGGTTTAATCAAGTCATCCAGAACAAGCACTTTTGCAATATATTATATTATATACTAGCTGTTCCGGCAAACGTATTCCCATATATATTGATATCGCTAATAAAAAATAGGAATTGATGGTAGAAAGATGATATGTAGGGGTGTATGTATTTTTTTGAAACGCAACGAAAGTGCAACGATAATATAAAACAATTACTAACCCGTAGGTATATTTTCAATCACTAAATATCTATCTATATTTATTTAAATAGAATACCTAATTATTTTAAAAGGTACCAATTCAACAAATAAAAGTGTTTATATATTTTGTTTCATGGTTTTTTATTGATAAATTTATATCCTAAACCTTAACAAGTTTAGCTTTTACATATTTTTTTTTTATTTTATATATGTCTAAAATTTAATTAAAAATGAATTTGGCCATTCTTATCCCTTAGGGTATTAAAAATAGATAACCTAGCGAAACCAAACTCTCAGACCTACCGAATATATACATATAAAATTGAAACATAATCATTTTAGTACTTTAGGATTCCATCGCGGACAAACAAAGGGACAAGATTTACCATTAATATCTAATACTCTTATAACAGAATTCCTTATAACAATAAAACTTTATTCCCAACAAAAATCTAAACTTAATCAATATTATAATTTACAAGCCATATTTAATGTAAAGCAATAAACCAGAACTTTATAGATTTTCACTCTAATAAGTAGCTAAATATATACAAGTTGCTTTCTACTGCATGTCTACTTGTTTATAAGTATATATGTTGCTATATATAAATTAAGATTCTTTAAACTAAAGAATGAAACGCAACGAAAGTGCAACGATAATATAAAACAATTACTAACCCGTAGGTATATTTTCAATTACTAAATATCTATCTATATTTATTTATATAGGTAGGTATACTTAGGTAATTTATTTTGTTAATTACTTAAATATATTATTATTTTTTTCAAGATACCTAATTATTTTAAAAGGTACCAATTCAACAAATAAAAGTGTTTATATTATTATTGTTTCATGGTTTTTTATTGATAAATTTATATCCTAAACCTTAACAAGTTTAGCTTTTATAGAACAACAATATAATTTAATTTTCAATTAAAACATTGCAAGGTAAAAACAACTGAAGCTTTTAGTATTATTTGTGTAAAGTAAACCTTTCAATCTGTTCTTTGTAGTTACATCATTTTTTTTATTTTTATGATGACTTGTGTTCTGTTGACTGTATAACATAAATGTGCATAACTCAATGTTATAACTAATATTTTCAAAATGACCGCCATAACAAGTTATCGGATGTTATGCTTTGTATTAAGCCTTTCCATGGTAGAATCAGAGACCTCATGGCCTCATGGCATGCTACGGCTTTTAGAGAGTAACCCGAAATTTGATTAATGATCATTTTCGAATTTTCCCAATGGTCAAATTATTATATAGACTAGGCCTAAACATAAAGAACAGAATTTGGTATTTTCTGTAAAAATATGATACTGTAAAATAATTTATAATTAAATTATTAATTATAAAGGATTAGCCAAATTTTATGACAAATCTCATATCAAGTTAGCAACACTGGTGCAATTTACTTTTGTAGTCTGTGACTGTCTGTCACTTTGTGACTCTGGACTCTGTGGTTTTTAAAGAAACAAAACAACATCAAATTAAAGTTCAAAGTATTCTAGAATATAATTTATTTTTCTTACTTTTCATTAAGTGTATTGACCTATTGGACATAATCTAAATAAAAAAATAATATTAAAAATATTGTATCGCTTAGAAACTTAACAAACTGTTTCTCTAAATTAAATTAGATAGCTTATTCAGGGCAGACAATAGCGGTAATTTAGAGACATTTTAGAAAAATAATTTAATTATATTTTATATATTTATTGGCTTAATAAAATCATACTTGCATGTTCATCATTTACACATAAGTATAAAATTGAGATTTGATGCTCTCACAGCAGTATTGGACGGAATGTGAAATCGGTGAGTAAAGATAATACCTGACATAATATACTGTGCTTATTTACTTTCTTGATACATTTATAAGTTTAATAAACTAGTAAATTATATTTTGTTAAAAAAAAGTGTTTAAAATTTACATAATTGTATAAAAAATACTTATGTCATAATCCAGTTGATAGGAAACCTTTGTGTTAATATTATGGAGAACCTTATTATAATTTATTAGAAAAATATGTCCTGCTACTTGTGGTTCTACATTTAAACACTCTCTATTTCTCAATTATAAAAGTAATGATTTTTACATGCATGTGACCTAATTGACATTACTTTGTATCAAAATATATTTCAGTTACTATACATCTTGCAGTATAAGCTAACTTGTGATGTTTGAGGCTATAATGTAATTCTATAATTAAACTATCATTGTTATCATGAATCAAGTTAGCCACTATTCTGAAACTATTTAATGAAGTGATATTTATAGTTTGAAATAACCATGGACAAATCACAACAAATCTTTTTCAAACTATACTCCAACTTGTCAGAGTGACACCTCACATGTGAATATACTTTTTACCAGAAAAGACCTGTGTCTTTACAAGATAACTTAAGAAATCAGTATCAGAACATGCAAATTATTACTTGTATTCTTTAGAGGATATAGGAGGGCATAGGACACAAGCTGATAGCACATGTGATGTAAACTAATATTTGTCACCAATATACATGTATGTATGTATGTGATATCATACATGTCTGATAGTAATAAGTAACCATCACATATGCTTGTGATACTACTAATGAGTTGCCATTCTGGAGAACTAGGATGTTATGCCGCATTATGATTATGGTGCCAAATCTCACCTTTCAACTGCGTTACAGCTAACATAACAAATTGCACCTCAGTCTCATCTACTTCAGCTGCCAGAAGTGGACGAGACTGAAGTGCCCATATAAGACACTTTACCAAATCTACCTCAGCGAATTGTGAATTATTTTGGCACACAACATAGATTAGCACAATAATATAAATAAGAAAAATGCATTCACATTCAGGGATGAATTAAGAATGAAATAATCTGTACTTCTCTTTTGTAGAATAAAATCAGTAACAAATATTTTCTCTAAGAATAGTCAAGAAAATGACTATTGTCTTCCAAATTTATGCCAATAAGAAATATTGTAGTGCCCTTGCAGGCTTCATGTCGGAAACTTATTATATGTAAGTAACTAATATCTGTATGACCACAAAAAAATAAAACAATTTGAATTAATACTTATACTAACTAAATATTTGCAGATCTCCTAGATGATAACAAATTATTAGGTACAAAATCTACAATTTCAACCAACATTATGAAGCAATTGGCAGCATGGTAAGTAATAATTAACTATTTAATATAATGAATTAGATATTGCAATAATATAAAGTGTTGTGAGTAAATTGTTATGCAATACATGGAACAAAAAAGAGAATTTCTTACAAGTCTCATTATTTGTTTGTCGCCTGTCTCTGTCATTTGAGCTTATCAGGCCATAAATAACAATAAATCTTATTTTTATGCACATGTACTTTGGTTTATCTTGTCATTTTATATATTATTATACTAACATAAGCAATAACATATTATCTAAATGCACATGAATACCTACCTTCTAGATACCAGAATGAGTTCTGTAATCTGTTCCCATTAAGAACACATTATTGTTCATGGTCCATACGTTTTTTCCATTCTCTCTCATTTACAGTATTCCACAACATCATTGTAAGAATTGCCCAATCCTTTGAGAGAATTTTGAAAATATTTTTTCCTGTTATTACCATTTGTATCCCTTTATAAAGTATATTCTTTTTTTTTTTAATTATTAAATTAAATAAATGTTGCACACAACAATAAACATTTGAGCTATACATTGCTTATTATATCATTTCACTAATATAATAGTAAGTTTATGAATATATATAAAAAATATTTATTAGGTATCAAAAGAAGATCAGTTCCTATGACAAAGAAGAATGGGAAACCATGGTGGAACAATTGCTTATGCGTGGAACATACCGTCGTCGGATAGTGGATTTTTCCACTCATGCCCGCTCCTATCTCATTGATGTTGATTTGGTCAGAGGTAGTTATTATAATTTCTTAATACAGAATTATTTAAAGCAAAATATTTATGCCTACATTCTTAAGTAGACACAAAATATTATCTGTCTGTCATTATTTCGCATTCTTACCAATAAGTACGCATTTATAAAAATGTTTATAATAAATTTCATTTCAATCAAGTTTTAAAATAGTGGAATGCTAATATTACATAAAACATTTACTACCCGAGATAGACTATAAAGAGTTGTCTTCATAGGTCTGCAAACATAGCTTATTAAGCATCCTGCTTAGGTTGCTTAGTAGTAAGCTATGTTTTGGTGGTAGCGTTTGATTAGGCTGGAAATTACAGGATAAAACGCAGACATTTTAGTCATCTGAAATGACAACGCATAAGTGGGATCGCAGGTGTCACGTGATGATGTGATATTAGGAATGCTGTTCATGTATATAGCCCTACTTACTATTAGGTTGGCAGTCATCTTGTTTGCTATTATAATTATATAAAATATACCTCTAACTACCACACCGATCGTTTGAGATTACACGCTATTGAACTTTTTTCAATAGTTACATAAAAAGAAAGGGATAAATGTCACATCACAAGCGTTATAATACCATTTAAAAAATTTAGGTGTTTGGTAGTGCCAGATCTAAAACTAATTATCACTATGAAATAGTATAGATACCTATATTTATTTTGAATGTTAAAGCGTGAAGTTTTATCAAACTTAATAATCACCATATATTACATATGCCAATCACTTGTTATCGGATAATAAATGCATAGTTTAAAGTCTAAAATTTCTTATATCGAAAAAAATTTATTATTGACACAATACCTAAACTTTATAGCCCTAAAATTTTTGTTGTCAACTTATGTGGACTATATGACTTCAATGAAATTTTAATACAAGAGTAAAATTATTGTCAACTTATGCGGACTATAGATTTCAATGATATTTCAATAGAAGAGTAAAAAACTGTATTGGATTGAAATCTATATTGAGATTACATTCCAAAGTAAAAAAATCTGAGACCTTCCTAAGACCAGACGCAAAGTTATCGTGAAAATACATTTTTTGTTGCTCATCTTATCGATCCCACTTTTCTGCCTGGCAATGAACATGTTAAAAGATGTAAATTTTAGGGTCGTCGTTCCCGAAAGCGAAGCCGACCCTGGGAATGCGGCGCGTCGTATGGTTCGCACTTGTACGACTAGTATTTCTACCGGCATTGTATCAGTGGTGGGCGCAGCAGACTTCGCCTACATGCGCCAAGTTTCTTCTCTCTTTGTGGCTCATGCAACTCCTCAATATATCCCTATACGTTATGACTCCGCTAGACATAGACGTGAGTAATATGTATAAACTATATAATGTAATTATTTTTCTTATTCACATCCTAAAGAGCTATAACACAATAGGTTTCTGCCAATGATCAAATTCAATTTCGTTTTATGTTACAATCTATATCTATAATTAACAGTTTAATTGGAACTCAGGATTAATGTTTAATGAATTCCTTAATTTTCAACACCACTAATGTGTTCAGCTTACCATTATAGGAATTATATATTTTTCAGGCTAATTGTTGGTTAGTGCCAATGGGTTTAATGTTTGTTTTGAGCATTGTACATTCGCAAATTGTGAGCACTACTGAAATGGAACTAGCTAGAGTGCGGCCCCGGTCCACTTATCACAGGAAATTACCGCGATATTTCAGGTATATATTTTCTGACCGATTAATTTAGATAATAGTAATAAACCCTGTATTGTGTACATAGAGGAAATGCAATAAGAAAAACAGTATATTCATGAATATTGATATTTATAATTTCTATTGTGCGGCGATCGAACCGGTGAACATCAGAAGGTGAGGTATTATTAAATTATTCCAACACCAAGGTTATTTATACTAATATTACAGCTGAAGTGTGATTGTCAGTCTGTCTTTTTATTACCTTATAATGACAAAACGGTTAAACGGATCTTAATGATATTTGACATTGTATTACGAGTACGGGCATAGTCTATCTAATATCTCAATAAAAATACAAACGAAATCCCGGAATATATCTAGTATAGTATAGATAATTTAAACATTTCTTTTATAACGGCTATTAAAAAAATATTTAAATGAAATACCTAGGTATTGCCAAAAATTATATTTATCAATTGTATATAAATGTAAATATAATTTTTGACAACGCCTCAATACAAATTAAACTGTCTTAATCAATTAATTAGTTACTGATTGACAGTTGATTATAATCCAGGCGACCGCGATCGGACTGCGAGGGTGGTAGTGGTGGTGGATCAGCCGAGAGTGGTGCCACATCCAGTCAAAGCAAAACACCATCGACAAAATCTGCTAAATTCCGAAGAAGACTTTCTCGTTCCGAATTGGCTGATAATGGTCTAAGGTACCTGAACAACATTATATATAGCTATATATAATGTTACTCCTTATTACATCAGCCAAAAAGCTATTATGCAGCTGCATTAAATAAATTTCTCAAGATAAACTAATAGATAGATAGATTGCAATTATAATAATATCAAATAATTACACATATTATTATCTACCTCTCATCCTAAGTATGCAACAACTTTTCGTATTCATAAGTATACAAACATCGTGTGAGGCAATCCTTCTGTGTATGTCAATTTGATTCTGTGTTTGATTTGATATAATTTAGAACTATATTATTAATAAAATAAAACTTTCAGAAAACGCAAAAAAGAACTAACAAAAGATAATCTGATAAAAAACTTAGAGCCGACTATAAAACCGAAATCTTTAATTAAAGTCAAGGTAAAAGATTCAGATGACGAAGACTACATGGCTTGGAAGAAGCCTGATATGACCACACCTATAGTCACATTCACTCCACCGCCAGACGATGCCTCAGCCAGTGTTCAAATTAAGAAGCTAACAAAGAAACAGCTGGAAACATTTAATGTACGGCAAAACCAACAGGTAAATGTGGTACGGGCTATGCTTCCTGACGGTGACGATGGGTTCGAAAGCCTTAATGGCTATAATTCAAATGGTAGCGACGGCGATAATAAAAATAAATATCCTGACTTACAAAAGAAGAATGAGAAAATAAGTAATCTAAACATAACGGAACCGGAAGTTCAATTAAACGTGAATAAAAGTAATGACGCAGTTGATAAGACTGAAAATGAATTATTCGAGGGCTTAGAAAATATGAAAAAAGAAGTTGATGAAAAATCTCTCGACTCTGATTGTGGGCTACCACCCAGTAGCCCTAGTGTAGGAAAAAGGATCAGATTTAGAGGTTCATGGGTACAAGATGATAGAAGAGAATCTAGTGATGATGATTTTACTTCTATTAAAAAGAAACATAAGGTAATATTTTAGTTAAATAAACATTTTCGAAAGATATCGCTATATATCGCTATATTTGCTTTCACACCAAAATAATGATATTAATATCACTAGTTCGTTAGTCTTTATGATAAGAGCTTCTTTGGATGCAGTATGAGATGTGGTTAAAGATACTATTTTAAAGATTTTGCTGTAACAAAAGTATGAACAGCACGCCCATATTATGTCAGAGCGAGCGCTGCATATGTTCTATAAACGATACTCATAAAACTTTTGTTGTATGTTACTATGCAGCCTTTGACCCGAACGTCGGGTCACATAACCCATACAATAATATAAAATATTTGGTCCTTGCTGCAGGCCTAGTTTTGTCATTCTTACAAGATTTTACACCCCTAGGGTGGACTTTGTATAAAGTCGTTGTCATGGATACTTCTATCTGTAAGCTGTGATCTGTGGGTTGTGATACGATGGAGTTATGGCAGTGAAATTACAAGTTAGGGAGGCATAATATCTTACAATTAGTCCTTTAGAATGATAAGCCATAAGAGATATCATGAGCGTCGTTGATGACGTTATGTGGAACTCTCCCAGCGTCTATGTTTCCTATGTCTTACAACATTAAAAGCCTGCCAAAAAAAAGATTTAAATGTCAAATAAAACACTTCCTTTGCAAAATAGCTTACTATAAAATTGAAGAATTCGTAAACGATAATAATGTTTTTGTAGAAAAAATTTAAATACATAGCACTGACAATATTATCTGATTACACTAATAATGAGTGCGTAGCGATTTCTATGTTGATTATCGCATGCCTCTTACTTGTTACACTGTAATTATTTATATAAAAAAACATCTATTAAAAAGAGCAACACACAAGTTTCTTGCTCATTCTTCTTGTGATGAATCTGCATTCCGAATGAGTGGTAGAATCAAAATATGACTATTCAAAAGTGCTTGTAATGAGTTTATTTGAATAAAGATTATTTCTATTTCTATTTCTATTGGGTATTTCGAGTCAAAAGTGAATAGGCAGTATTTGTGCTTGCGTGTAACAGCTTAGACCGCATCATCATTTAACATCAGGTGAGATTACGGTCAAACGAGCTCAAATTTTGAAGTTAATAAATTTCATTCATGTATATAAACGACGGTCATTTTATTACTATTAGGCGTTATTGATCCTTGTTGTTTAGCTTGTAATTACACTTGCATAAAAAAATTGATTTCAAAACTTTCAAGTTCTCAGACGGTGCAGTGTCGCATTTGTCTGATTGACGAACGCTTAAGTCATCCACTTATACCTCATACTCATCTAGGACACTCGAATTATAACGAATAAAGGCAAACTCCTGTGTATCGGCAAGCATGACTAAAGTATTATTTGTTTAATTATGCACTGTTTATACATTAAAGTACACACGTATTAATCATTTAATTTTTATAATATTAGGTTATTGGTGAAAGGAATATTCCTCACGCGAACACAGGTAGCTATGTGACTGGTTACTGCAGTATGCTTATGCTTGTTAGTAAATAACAGCTCACGTCATCCAAACATATCTAATTATTTCATTCTGCATTTATATAGAATATAGAAAATTACCAGAGCTCATCATCGGATGGCGAATGCTCCGCTTCAGCGCCATCCATCGCTCTTCCTTCACATCATACCATGTCTGACTGGGTTGGGCAAACCACTAATAGTAAGAACAATATGTACATTAACGCCTATGATAAGTCCTTTATTTGATTATTTAAACTAGATTTAATAAACTCATATTACGTTCTACAAACAATCCAAATTTTATCATAAAGAAAATTATTAGATTATTCACTCAGTAAACTATATTGATTAAAAAAACATCAAAATCAATGCAATGTACACCTGCGAGAATAGCATACTAAGCAATAGTATACTATTATTAATGGATATATATATATATATATATATATTAATGGTTCTGTTCATGTGATAAATAAATCTAGAATAGGGATATTACATATCATGGAAATCAAATGTCACTGTCATTCATATTGAAATGGGCACCTGAAAACACATTAAAAGTAACCTAACGGTTCCACCGTTAGGTGGCGCTACTTTTCCGGGCAGAACGACGTACCGTACGTATGTTAGTCACTAATGTTGCTTTCTGTCATGTTTTTAATGAATGGATTACCTATTTATGAATATTAAATATGTTTATTACGGCTAGGTGGCGGCGGAATGAAAATAATAAAAGATCTCACCATAATATTTCCCGGTATACATTTTATATTTTAGTGACAAGCTTATTGTAGAAAGACAAAACTTATAAAGTAAAGTATGTATATAGTAAACACGTGTCACATTTAAAAGCAAATTATCAAAAGAGGTCTGTCGCCAACAATGATACGTAGTTATAATAATGTGAAATTTGTCCCCAACGGACTTCAAGCTATGTCCTAAACTAAAAATGGTCTTGAAGGGCAGGTGCAGGTGATTCAAAGTACTGTTACCGACGTCCTGAAGCGGCAGTGAAAGAGGAGTTCTCTGACTGCATCCAATCTTTTAATAGAAGATTTCAACGTTGTATCAATGTGGAAGGGTCATATCTTGAATAAATTGAAATTTTTTTTTTTATTTGACCAACCGTTTTGATTTTATGGGAGCAGTCCGCGAACTTTTGGCCCAACTGTATATGTTTCATTGCAAACACATATTAAATGTTATAGGCAAAAATAAAATTCTTTCCTCTTTATAGTACCTATTACATATACAATTTGTGTATGTAGGTGAAGAAAGCAGTTATGGCTCCCAATCAGAAGGTGGTCACTCGGATGTTGGCTTCCACTATGCAGCGGACAGTTCGTGGGATCCTTTCGCTTTGTTAGACCCTTCAAATGACACAGGTAATTCTAATATTTTCGTTCATGTGCATGTTACCCGTTGGTATTTTGGTATTTGTTGGTGTATACTATATGTTTCATGATTAACATTTTAGGTCATAAGTATTTACAATCTTAGAATAATTTACAAGTGGTTTTTAAAATTAAAAAGTTGTTACGCCAATCATGGCATGCCATGAGACTTAACCATACGATATAGAAAAGGACATGGGCTTGTTTTTATCCCTGTCAGTCATAGCACAATCTACTCCGAGTCTGATGAATGCCGAAAGTTACAGACGTTGTTAGACTTCAATAATGAACCTTGGTAAGAGTCAATAAAGTTTATTCTTATATGTAGTAAAGTGTACAATGTGGGAGCGTGGGTCGACACTGCGCGCGGAGCTGTCTGCGGTGGACATCAGCTGGTACGTGGTAGCACGCGCCGAGCGGACGATGGCGGCCGACGGCGGACTGTGGACCGGCCTCGCCATGGCTGCTGCCGTCGCTCTCTTCGCGCCCGCCACCAGGCTCGTTCAGGTATGGTATAATATTTTAGTAAATTAAACACGTGTGTTTTTTTAGCTATTTTAACCCCTTCCCTGGGAAGGAAACTGTTAGTGTTGTGGACTAATAATCCCTTCGCTAACAATGTACTATATCTATATATCGGTTGTTTAGTACTCATAACAAAACCACAGCTTGGCTTGGGACTAGAAGACACGGCGTGAATTCTCCTAAGATTTTTTTTTTACTTTTACTGGTATCTTTAGAACTTTGTCTATGTAAACTTTATTAATTAGGTATGAGTGCTAAGTGAAATATAAAAATGTAAGTAGTATATTTAAATTGCTAAAATTATATATAAGTTTAAGTGCACTATTAACTTGTTGTTGTTTTAGTTAGACTACAGCACAATGACATTACTTTAACATATATAGTGTTTTTAATAATATATTTTAATAAGAATTTCCTCGAGTAGTACACGATCTATGGGTGTATGAGTTCATATATAGTCTAATGGCTAGATTTTGAATGAATTATGAGGTAACCGCAAGCGAAAATAAATAAAAGAGAATGTTGTCAGTTTGTTTAATTCATCATCTATTTGAACCAACACCAAATACACCAAATATAGAAATGATTTCCTAATTTTACATTATTCAAATTTACAGGTAGCAATAGAACAAGACAATAGAAGCGAAGAAGAATTGCAATCAATATCGCTCATAACTTACATACCATCACTGGTAGTCAATTATAGTCAAGGATCTATCTTTTCTGTGATTGGTGGTGCTCTTGGAGACAATGTGTGGTAAGTTTAGCATTAATATTCTTATTTTAAACGCCATAATCATGTATTATAATTGAAAAATTAACATACCTTCCAACATAAAAAAATCCTATACTTCATTATACAGAAGTTACAATTGTCAAAATACAAGTTTTTACACTAACCTCCGAAACAACGTAGCTAATTTTAATCCCGTTTCTTTGTTTTATTTCAAACACCGCTAATCTTTACATATAATAAAATTACAAAATCGTCGCGAAACGTAGACGCGTTTGCGTGTTAAGGTTTTTATTTCTTGTTATCGTTCCATTTATGACGAATAAATGACTTCTCCAAACGTACACATTTACAAAATTGCTGGCACCACTAGTTTTGAAATATAATCTGTTTAATATTTCCCCAATATTCCAATGTTAAATAAAATATTTTTTCATTAGGGAAATATCAACGAACATTCTATCTTGCTTGCTCCGATTCGCGCTAAGTGGTTTGGTGTTTTTCCTACTGGCGGTAGCAGAGCGCGCGTTCAAGCAACGTTTCTTATACGCGAAGCTCTTCTCACACTTGACGTCAGCGCGTCGCGCTCGCAAATCCGAACTGCCTCACTTTAGACTCAACACCGTGAGGAACATTAAGACGTGGCTATCAACAAGATCTTACCTGCGAGTAAGTATCTTTAACCTGTTACAAAAAAGAAGGAACATATTAATTGAGGTATGATTTTTTTGTGTGTAGTTTATACAATACTTTCACGCAATAGGACTGACGTACGGGTAAAAATATTTTGGTAAAACATACTACAAATTTGCATTCCATATATAACGTTACGCGTTAAGAGGTTGGGTCACAAAATGTGACATTATGTGACAAGGAGTGAGTCCGAACAAGGACCTTTGTCCTAAATTTCGATCGTTACATTTCAAAACCTATCGAATTTAATTATATCTAAGTACTGACATGTACTCACTAAAATTGTACTATTATTGAAACACATAAAATAGTTTCAAACTTATCTGTTATAAGCATAAGTTTTAAATTGTTTTATAGGCGAACTTACACCTATTTTATTAGAGCAATATTCCAAAATACGTAACATCCACTAGGGAGGGGGACAGTCTCAGTTACCAGAATGGGCAAGAGGTTAAACTATCGTAAATCTAATGATGTTAATTCGATGATTTATGGATTATAATAAGATACATTTTCGTACCCAACAAGAAATGCTACATATATTCTTTTTTTCAGCGCCGTGGACCGCAGCGGTCAGTCGATGTGATCGTGTCAGCCGCTTTCATGCTCACTATTATACTGCTGGCGTGTGTCAGCGCTCAGTTACTACGAGTAAGTATCGCACATATGAAAAAAAAACAGTTATCGTTAAAATACATTATTTCATAAGCAATATCAAAACAAACGTAGAAGTCTTTTGCTTAGGTACCTCTAGCTCATCTATTGTTCATTTCTGAAGTGAAACGATGTCACAATTGACGTGAATGTAGAAGATACTGGTGTCATACCTTTGAAGTATCACAATATATTTTGCAATATCCGTAGTACTATTTATGTATTTAAGATAGTTACCACTTTTTGGAGCGCTGTTAGGTTGTTTATTATTAAAAATTAAATAAATGGCAACCTTCCAGGAGTCCGTGACACTAGAGCATGGTTGGTTACTAGAGGCTATGGTGTGGAGTATTTGCCTGGGTATCTACCTATTGCGCTTCGTGACGCTGGGCAGCAACGTTAATCGCAAGTACCGCGGCTGTCTCTCCGCCATACTGACCGAGCAGATCAACCTACATCTCGCTATAGAACAGCGACCTGAGAGCAAGGAACAACTCACAGTTGCAAACAACGTGCTCAAATTGGCAGGCGATCTACTCAAAGTATGTATCTATAATAAGATTTTATAAGATACAAGCTCCACCCGCGATTTCTTCCGCGTGGAAGTTAACTTTATTTTTCTAAAATAAAAGTAGCCTAAGTTACTCGTTATTACATCAGCTACCTGCCAAAAAAAGTCCCGTCAAAATAGGTCCAGCCATTTCAGAGATTAGCCGGACAGACAGACAGATAGATAACAATTATAAATATTATTTTGCTGTATGTATCACATTTATATCATATGCATGTAGTAAAAAACGGGTATTTCTATATTACAAACATACACTCAAATTTTATTTATATGTATAGATGTATAGATTATGTATCAATAGTGGTTGCCAAATCTGTTATATAATATAGTATGGGTTTTGAGCCAAGAAACAATATACTATTGATCACATATACTTTATTTTTACTAAAGCTAACACTAAACAAATTCCCGTTTCATTCTCTATTTCTGTGCTTATGTCATAAACTGCTAACGATTTTAAATATAATATAAACAATTTATACAAGCTGTAATTATATGGGCCTTAGGACACCATATATTGAGTAGGACAAGTGTATTTATAGATCGTATTGTTGAGACGTATTTTAATATTTTCCAGGAATTGGACGCGCCCTTCAAGATATCAGGAATCTGCGCTAACCATTATCTGTATACAATAACGAAAGTAGTCATATTGTCCGCTCTCTCGGGAGTACTCTCGGAAATGTTAGGTTTTAAACTAAAATTACACAAAATAAAAATAAAGTAAAAGTAGTCGTTTCATGCCATGTATAAGGTTTAAAGGAAATAGTGTTCAATGTTATTAGAGGCCGAATAGTAAATAATAATGATCTCATTTATTTAATAAATGTTACAATATACATATTATCATTACTAAGTATAATTATTTATAGTTACTATTTATCATAGAATAAAACGTGTTGAGCGTACTATTAACCATTTAACATAGATTTAGATTCACTAATTTCCGGACATAGAACTATTTTTACAAACTCTCCTATCTCCTTGGAATTGAGCACTATTTTAGTTAGACTTTATCTTAATTCCATTCGATTTTTCATCGTATTCACAACTAAAATATTATAGAAATCATATAATAAAATTACAAATTGTAAAAAACTTTCGATGTCCAGTCTTAGTGTCATACTTATTTCTCTACATACAATGCCGCCTTACGGTACGGATTGTACCTTTGTATTATTTATACCATAATACTAAGATGATTTTAACTACAAAAAAAATTGCAATAAAGTGACTTTTAATATTTTGTCTATATTTCTGCCATTTTAATATTTTAAATGATGTGTCGCTGCAGTACTAAAGTCTATGTAGAAATATATAGATAAGAGTAGAAGTTTTCCAAAATAAGGCAACGTCATGTATAGTGTAATGCCATTGTGCATACACCATTTCGTTTCGCTTTATAATTGTAGATTAAGAACAGATATGTATGGATCTCTGACTTTTAATAGATTTTATTGTATCCTATTAAATAAAATTTATCAAGTTGTGTTGTATAATATACCTAGTTTATTATGAAGTAGTAGCCTAGGTTTTAATGAAACATCCAGTTTCATATCGCAGTCTTTCATATACTCCCCACACACTATTTATTTATATTTATTGTAATGGGAATAATGCCAGATCTTACCTTATTTACATACAAAAAAATATGTAATGATTAAATCGTTTAAGTTATACATTTACCTACATAATAATTTAACAAATGAAATGTTAATAATTCAATTTCAGATTACTTAAAAGATTATATACCGACTCTTCTCTATTGTATTAATAATAATTTAATGTATTATATTGTAAGATGATTGTAACAACATATAAATCTATAATGTACTAAATGCAGTAAATGCATTTATTTTACTGATCTCATTTTACTGATATGAGATTAATTTTACAGACGGACAAAAATTGAAACATGTCCAACATTTGAAATAATACTGTAAATTAATTTTATTGGTCAAATTTTAATCTACGAGTTGATTTTTTTTATCATTTTATAACATAGATTATGTATTCCGGTATGTATGTAGTAGCAATTTGAGATTATTTGAATGTAATATTATATTCGAACACCTAAAATATTACTTTTTTTTAATATCATATTTTAATTTTATATATTTTCTGTTGCAATATTTTGAACTAATAATTATTTTACACCAATATATCATATTTTTTATTTTTGTTATGGATTCATGGTACATGTTTGCACAAAAGAACGTGAACTAAAGCTCCTGACTATTGAACATACAGTCGATGCTTAAATAGTCGCTGCGTAAGATGTGATAAAAAATTTATAATACAAGGTATATCTCGAACTGTAACAATAGTGTTACAACTAATAAATATATATAAATAGAACTGCATTCATAACATGAATTCACTATTCACAATTAAATTAATTTATTGTTCTCATTATAAAGTTAATTTGTCATGAAATATTTACATCTATAAACACTGAAGTCCTCGAGTTGAACAGATAAAGAAATGTTATTAGAATATCGAGTCGCGTTGTGTTCTATATATATGTACATAGGACATAACGCAACTCGATATCCAAAGCCTAGTTTTCTTTACCTGAGTGGATAGATACATTCTTATATAAGTTAATATGTTTGACCATAACTAAAATGTATCGTATTCGCCTAGCAATAATAATATGTAGAATACATTTATAAGTGCCTATAATTGAGTCCAAGAATATTATACGTAACTAACGCACCGCCCTTGCTTTACATAACATATTTTTCTTGAGAAGCAAGGGCAATGGAAAACGAAATCTATATTTTAAGCTACACTGGTTACCACATAAATACATTGCTGAATTGTTGCTGCATTCAATTTGAGGTAGTATTCATTGCATGTTGCAAGTACAAACATAAAGACAGAGAGACATAAAAATCACTATAATATATGGACATAAGCCTGATACAATTATATAGAAATTGGAACAATGTTAATTTGTATATTATAAGATACATTTTTTATTTTATTTCTCACATTGAAAACTGGGCTTATATGTGGTTACTATACAATACAATGTGATATATTATATTGTTTAAACCCAACCGCCATTATGAATTTTTAGTAATTTACAAAATGTTTTATTAATGTTCCTATTATTATTATGTTTGTGTGATATAGTACTATTATAAGTAAAATGTAGCGAACGTCTTCAAATCCGCTTATTTTAATAGCACTATAAATTGTTAATTTTAAATTTTATCCAACAACACTAAAATATGTGATGTTTTATTTTTAGACACTTGATTAATGTAGTTTTAAAGACTGAATTTAATTTAAAATATGAAATTTAAATAATTTTGTTTTTACATGTTCAATGTATGTATGTAGTATGAACAATGAAAGGCGTACCTATCAATTTACGTACCAAATTGTGTAGGTACTTTTTACTTACAGTTGCATAAAATTTAAACACCGTGTACTGTATTGGTATTCACGATGATAAAAATCTATTCATTATTTAATAGACAGGTTTAGGTGTTACGTAATTTGGTGCTTATTATTTTGATTGTTAAATAATATTACGTACTAGATAGATGTGTACTTAAGTACCTCACTGTAAGTAGCATGAAATGCAAAATAAATAATTATTCTACTTATTTTCTTTTTTCCTTTAATCTTATTTATTGATCTCTTTTCAGTATCCTATGTATGACTTGAATAATCGTAGAATGAGCTGAACATAATATGTATATAATCTATTTTTTTTTAATATATTGCAAGAATAGTCTATTTTCTATTTCGTAGACAAATTTAACATTCATTGTTTCCATTATTGCATTTTTTCAATAGGGATGTGGCACTATAAGAAATTAATATTATTTACTCAATTTTATAGGTTACTTAGAAATAACGTGTAGGTGTTTATTTAATAATCATTAACACAAAATTAATAAAGTGTACATATTAATGAATATAGGGTTATTGTACGAAATTACTTTTTTTAATTACATTTATTTCACTAAAACCAAAGGTGACCAGTTTTGGCACAATATATAAAAAAAAAGTCCGCAAATACATGAATAATAATATTCAGAAAGAAATTTTGATTTATATGACGGGAAAAAAGATTTAAAAAATTAAAAAAGGGCTGCAAACCCTTTCTTCAATACAATTCGTTATCGATAAGAAATTTGACAAAATGTTTTAAATAAAAGTTGTAGAGGAAAGATATCTGCACAAACCAGGTCATTTTAATTTTTATATATTATATATATTTAATGCATTATTTTGGTGTTAGGTTCCGAGATCAAAAAATCGACTATAATTTTCCAAAACTTAATGGCGTCGAGGGCGACAGGCTTCATACAGCCAACTCTTGGAAATGGAACTGATGACTCAAATGCTCCATTCAACTAATCAAATGGGTAAATTTCTAGGGAAAACAAATTAAAAACAATTTTCAGCTTACTATATTAATTTTATTCAAATAACAAACATAATATCTAAGATGAAAGTAAACATTGAAATAACTTAGGACAATATTGGTGATTTATAAATGATAATGTCCTAAAATGTCTGCTTATACTGATAATGGCTTACATTCAGAATCGTTTTTATTTAAATAATTCTTTTAAAAACTACCTAGGTACCTATTTCATCACTTCAATCTTTTATTGGAACGAGTTGAACTTACATTCTCTTCTAAAGCCCTGTTTATATACCCCGTTCTAGGTTCAAAATTAATAATTCAAAGTTACAAGAGACAAGTTATTAAAAAACATAACTATCCTAATTAAACCTGCTTATAAATGAAAAAGATTCCCTAATTTTGGGTATGTATTAACGTTATACTACTGTTTAGAATCTAGTAAACAAAAAGACATATGATAATGATATACTACTCCACATTAATAAAATATTTTCACTCTTTTGGGTTAATTTATCATTTTTTATTTTTAATTTCTGCAGCGAAATACTATTTCGAAATTATAAGTATAGGACTGAAGCCCTAGACTTTTGAAATGTGATGAAAATCTAATTAAGCCCACAAGACAATTAAATACATACGCAAGAATAGTCATTTTATTTCACCAGGAAATTGTTCAAAGATTACTTATAACAGTTCAGTCGCTAAAAAATAAAGAAAATCAACACCTTAAGTAAACCAAAAACCTATATTTATAAATCAATTTTTGTTTACATAAAATACCCTCTAACAGCGACAAAATTAGAACGAGACTTTAATTAATAGAAATGTATAAATTAATTCAGAATTGGCAAAGGCACATAACAGCACTTCTGGCGAACCTACAAATTAAACGTATATTTAAATTCGGAAACTTCTTTTTTGAAGTTAGTTATAACGACAAAAGTGTGCAGAAACACATTTTATATGGCTGTATGTATTTTTAAATGATTCTGCCTATTTTCAATGAACCTTTACAAAAAAAGCGGCCTTTAGTGGTCGTTCACATATCACGTAGGTACTAAGAATTACAATACCAACTAGTCAATAAAATCATCAAAAGCAAATAATGCCTATATTCGAGGCGGCTCTTACTTCGAAACTGCTTTATCAATTGCATTTAATTACGTTTATGTTACCTGACATAAGTAATAAACAATTTTGGAATGTAAGGTACATTGAAATAACTACAAAAATAAATGTTGAGTTAATTAAGATGAGACATTGCATATTAATAAAATAATACGTTTAATTTATTGTTAGCGCCCCGATTCTAACTTTGCTCGGATTGAACAATAGCTATCTCTACGTACAAATAAAATTCAGACTATAATATGCTATACTTTTCTTCATATTTTAGTAAAAAATATGCCAAAATTGTTCACTAAATATATCCAGAAAAAACAGATCATACATTGTAATAACCAAACATTTAGACTTTTTCTAATTTATACACTATTCAAGACGATGGATGGATAAATTTAATTGTTACAATTCAGTTTGACATCATAAGTTTATATCTATGTATTCGGTATACGAATTTCAAGCATCAAATGTTATGATGATTTTAAATGAAAACAGAGTAGTATATGTTATGAAGCGTTCAATCCCTGCGTCGTTCACGTGATCCCGAGCGGTGAGAACGACTGCGGCGCGATTCCCGCTCGCGGTCACGGTCACGGCCTCGGGACCGCTCTCGGGACCCTTCACGTTTACTTCTGCTCCGCGACCTACTGCGCCTGTACATATTTATTTATTAAATACAGTGAGATTACATTCAGTTCTAACTGAAAGACGGAACTACCGGCAATGTGTGTTGCCATTGATACTATTCACTTTCGTTACCTTTCACGACTACATGACAGTGGATTTTATCGATTCTAACCGAGATTGACTTTGTTAAAAGACGTTTGAATGGGTACCCTTGTCGCACCTATTACAACTGCCAATAAGCTTGCTTTGTACGTTGTTTCGGTTGAAGGGTGAGATAAGGCAGTAAGATTGCAGAATAAGAGTTGTGACATCTTAATCACGGGCGTAATACGAGAACGTAGCGCTGTTCGTATATATGAACGACTGTTACCACTTACCATCAGATGGGTAAACATCCTGTGTGCCATTCTAAATTCATACAAAAATTGAATTTTCAAGTGTTCACTACTGTCTTAGCAGTAACACAAAAACAGACATGACTATTTTCATTTCAATAAATCAGACCAAGTCGCAGGTGACATTTAGTTTCATATATACTACTATATAATCAATATGTATTTAATAAATGACAATATTTCGCATTAATAATTATATATGAATATATATATATATATTAATGCGAAATATTGTCTCGCCATCCAAAGCGTAACACGTCTTTGGTACTAAATAAAAATGGCACGGCTATCAATCTGCCGACTACTAAAATAATGTATGCTCACCTCCTATCGCGCTCGCGATCACGGTCACGTTCCCTCTCCTTGCCCCGCTGGTCACGATCGGAGTCTTTATTGCGATCGCGATCTCGCGCCGTCTCGCGATGGCGGCGGGCGCGGCGGTCTAGTTCCCGCCCGCCCACGTAGTGGCGACGCCCCCCGCCACCACCCCCGCTTCGCTCACGCTCCGACGCTCCTCGTTCATCGCGTCTCTTATCTACTGTTTTCTATAGAATAGTTATTTAAATATAATAAATAGAAATACGATAATTGTATCCACATAATAATGAACATTTTATTGAGTTGAAATTGATTTTATTAATTGAATTTGAGTATTTAATTGAATCAGTGCTAATTGGTAGTTTGTATTCACAAACTTCAACTTAAAATGTAATTTAACAATAAAATTATTTAAAAGAGCAACACGCAAGTTTCTTGCTCGTTCTTCTTGTGATGAGACAGCTTTCCGAATGAGCAGTAGATAAAAAAAAATATGATGACTATTCAAAAGCGATTCAATGTAAGTCTATTTGAATAAATTATTTTCTATTCTAACATCTGCCAACTAAATTTCGCTGAGATAGACTGCGTGGCTCTGGTCTCACCCATTTTTGCCGCCAAATAGGTTGCTTTGCAAATGAGCTTTCAGTTCAAGGATAAGATAGGGAAGATTTCTGTATACTATAATATTGCTATCTTATCTTAGTTCTTACGTTCACATTTAAGTGTAGTAGAAATACGTTGTAAAACAATTTATAATTGGATAAATATTTTAAATGGTAGCTGTAGAAAGTTGTAACACAAAATTCTATATGTGTCACCTTATTATATGATAACATATCATAGAATTTCGTGTTAGTTTTGATATCAGAATAGAAAAAAAATTACTTTATATACGAGTCAGGATAATCGGGATTCTACTGTATATATATATATATGTACAGTGGGTTGCCAAATTAATAGGGACAGTCACATTTTTTATAATTTTTGTTCTTCAAGTGGTCTTGACTACGTTTTTAAGTGGTAAAAGTTTTTTGCTGATATGTTTTTATGTTCACCTTGTCTCTATAACTCAAATTCAAAGTGAATTTCAAGTGCTGAGAGATTTGTTTATTTTGGAAATATATTTTAATGACGGGAGAGACACACAGTCGTTCACACGTGTAAAAGTGAAACACGTAAATTATTCTTTTAAACAGTTCTTTAGTGGTTTTGTGAAATAATCAATACCTGCAAGTAAGTAATATTTTACTATAATTAAAATTAAAGTATTTTGGAGCGGATTTTAGAACAATTTTAATTTATTTTTATATTTTCAGCTTTGGCTATGGGTCGAGGGGTAGATTTGACTCCGAGAAAAAAATCCGAGGTTAAAACCCTTCTCCTACACACAAATCACTCTCAGAGGATGATAGCACAACTGGCCGGGATATCGAAATCTGCCGTCAATAAAATAAAAATAAATTTAGATCAAAATCAGCCACTTTCGCCCAAAAGAAAAGGCAAATGTGGCAGAAAACGTATCACAACAACACGTTCCGATAGGAAAATTCGAGATATCTGCTTGCAAAACAGAAAGAAAAGTGCTGGATTTTTAACTCAGATAGTACAGGAATCTGGACTACGTGTTTCAAAAAGAACTGTACAGCGAAGGTTGGCAGAGGAAGGCCTGACAGGTCATCGTCCAGTTAAGAAACCCTGATTAACAGAGGCGATGAAAAAGAAAAGGCTTGCTTGGGCTCGTGAGCACCGCCTGAAAACTGTTGAAGACTGGAATAAGGTCAGTTCTATGGTTAATTTTATTTGTGTTATATAAAATCATATTTACAAAAATTATAAATAGTTTCTATATTTTTTTAGGTATGTTTCTCAGACGAGTCAACTTTTGAAATTCTGGCCAACAAAAGTAACTTCGTGAGGCGGCGCCCAGGCGAGAAATTTCATCCTGATTGCATAGTGGAACGAATTAAACACCCTGTAAAAATAATGGTATGGTCTGTCATCAGCGCAAAAGGAGTTGGGCGCCTCTATATCGTCCAGGGAACCATGAGACAGGACTAGGGTTCATTCCCGGGAATTCTCGGTTCGAGAATTCCCGGGAAATTCATGGGTTTTGTTCCCGGGAAATCAAGCTCGAGAAAAGTCGAGAACTCGAGAAATCATGTACCTAAATAGAAATTAAATTGCCCTTTGTTTTGTTGCGTGGCGGCGCAATAATTTAAGATATTAACGTTTTTGTTTTCTTTCGTATTATTTTTTTATGTTGTAGAAACTATTTTTGTTTACATTGTTTTTTTTTTATCTAAATAAGCAGCCAAAAATGGTGCTATCATTATAAATATAAGTCTGAATAATTAGGTCCTAAAAAATTGAAATTGGCGTTTTGTAAGGGAATAAAAGTAAACAATTTTTTTTTTTCAAAATATATCAAAGTAAATAATATATAATATATATTTATTTAATCAAAGTATGTACCATTTCTATTTATGCACTTTTGCCTTTTGTTTTTGCACTTTGGACTGTCCCATCGGAATGTAATTTTTTCCCTTGCAAGAAGTTATCCAAATTTCGAAAAAAAATGGTAATCTGTTGGTGCAAGGTCCGGGAAGTACGGTGGTTGTCTTAGACATTCCAATTGAAGCTCTTTTAATTTGGTAACTGTCTGTTGTGCACTATGTGGTTAAGCGTTCTTGGCCAGCTCGGTTGTTTAGCAGCTAGCTTTTCCATCATGGTTTCTCAATTGCTGACAATACACATTTGCCGTAATCGTCTGGCCAGATTTAAGAATAAAGATAAGAAAGCCGAAGTGAACAACACCGGAAATAGTCCACCAAACGTTCACAAGTAACATTTTTTTAGCCATATTTCGCTTGGGGCAGGATTTGGTTGGTTCGTCGAAATTTCCAGAACGAAAACGTTGGAACCAAAAATGCACGTGTTTTCTTTTGCGAGACCACTGCCATACACATCATTAATACTTCGAGCCGTTTAGCACCGTGTAGCACTGGTGCCACAGCGAAACTCGTACTCGTAAATAACGCGATATTTTAAGTTTTTTCATTTTGTATGCTGTGAGTGACCCAAAGTGAATAGCTGTATAAATTTGGAAATGGAATTCCTAACCAAAGAAGAGATATTTGAGATCAAAGTGACCAGTACGACAAAACGCCAATTTCATATGTAAGGTTCTAATATTATTTCTCTATCTAAAAAAAAAAAATTATTCATATGTAATATTAATGTTTTTAAATATACTCAATAAAAGTTTAATTTGATACTTTTATTTGAGAGGAAAACCACTGAATTTTTTGACGTTATTGGAACCAAATAATATGAGAAAACGTACATAAATGTAAATTTCTCGACAACCCGAGAAGACCCGAGAAATTGACCTCGAGAATTCTCGAGACCCGAGAAATTGAAAAGCTCGAGAAATCATGAACCCTAGACAGGACCAATACAAGCAAGTATTAGAAACTCGCCTGTTGCCGCAACTTCAGGAATGGTTCCCGAATGGGGAGGAATTCGTGTTTATGCACGATTCAGCTCCATGTCATAAAGCGAGGAGTGTAACCAAATTTTTGGAAGACCACAACATTCCAGTTTTACCTTGGCCTGGCAATTCTCCTGATATGAATCCCATAGAAAACTTGTGGGAAATTACCAAGGCGGAAATTGCTAAGGAAATCATAACTACCAAAGTAAAACTAATTGAAAAATTAATAAATGTATGGTTTCACAATCCCAAAATAAAAGAAAGTGCTAAACAGTGTATTGAAAGTATGCCGAGGCGGATTCAAGCACTGATAGAAGCAAAAGGAAATGTGACAAAATACTAATAATTTCCCATCATCATTTTTATTATACTTGTTTATATTTTCTAGTTGTTCAAATATTAAATTATTATAGTCTAAATTCATTATAAGATATGTGCCTGATATTATTAAATATAATTATAGCCTAAAGTGACGTTTTTAATTAATTATAGACCAATGTTTTACAAAAAACGAATATTTCGTGACTGTCCCTATTAATTTGGCAACCCACTGTATATGCACATGTTACCATGGATTCCTTGATATAATGTTGCTGTATATATTATTGTTAAAAAGGAAAATTACAATTATACAATTTTATATCCTTTTTCACTACAACCCTTCTACCTATTTATATGTACCTTCAAGCCTGCTAATTTCTCTCGAATAGTAATAAAACCGAGATGAAGTTTTCCTCCAAAATGATCAGCGAGTCGTCTGTCGTTGTCATGAATGCCCAAATACGCAGAGCATACTTCGCATACGCGTAATTTCTGTTGTTGATATGATGAAGCGGGCATTGAATTTCTATAATCCTGTTCTGCTACCATTTTCTTTTTACGTAACTCTTCAACCTAGAAAATATTAATAGACATTGTTATAGTTACTATTACAATAAAATCTGAGTATTGTATGTTATTGCAGGATTATACCTCTCCCATAAGTTTAAAACTTTCTTCAACCATACCCTCTTCGCCGAGAGCTTCAGCGCGCGCCAACTTCTGACCAATTTGCTCAGCCAATTCATGCACTGCATTAGCTTTTTCAGTTACTTCGGCGGAAAGTTCCTCTTGAGTTTCGGCCAGACGTTGTTTGGCAGCAGTTGTGCGACGATCACAGTCAGCTATAAATGCCTCTAAGTGTTCTGTAGCCTTTATAACACCACAACAATGATTGAATTAACTATTAAAAAATATATTTAATATGTTTTACTGATCGTATTTAAGAAATAAATGCAAAAATAATGTCATTTTATGTGGGTACCAGATAATTAATTTAGTAGAATCTTGACAGAATTAATTTTTTATTTTCTATCTCTTGGTAATTTAACCAAGAGATAGAAAAAAAAATTTAAGAGTGGAACTATTTTTTTCTTAATCAGTAACTATTGACTGTCTTATCAGTTTTTTATAACTACTTCCTGGCCTAAAGAAAAGACGTATATGTGCAAAGAAAATTAGTTTAAAAAGGTCGGTTTATGATGTAGATAATAGTTAAGCTTTTAATGTCACTGTTTTTTTATTATCTAGTTATATTTCTTTTATTATATATATATATATAAATATAATTTATATTCAAGATCAAGATATAATGGGGCTGACATACCAAAAAGGGGCAAAAGATTCTAAATTTAGTAAAAAAAGAAATTAATGCCATACTTACATCAATATCATAGAAATAGTCTTTGGTTTTGGAGGCTAACTCATAATCAGCACGAAGAGCCAGATCATGTATTTTTGGACACTCACCTAAATCCATTCGCTGCAATAGAAGTAAAAACCACATGAAAAGTATGTGTCCTAAACTACTAAACTGGTACAACAACAAGAGGTCATCAATATACAATGATTAATTGGACCCTTGTGAATTATAACAAATATTCTGCTTCCCCCACATTTGTATTCAATTTTCAAAAATTGATAAGAATAAAAATAGTGCATATAATAATAGGTATATTTAACAAATTTACACATAGAAAGAAGTTTACAGTCTCTTGAATATAATAATCCAATTTAATATTGTTATTTCAAAATACATACAATAGCACCAACTGCACACGAAGTCCTGGATATCGGCCATAAAGATAATTATAGTAAATACTTACAAATTTATAGAGGAAACCCCTCCTGATTACCCTAACTAGCTGGGTTTCATATGAAGACAAAACAAAGCCATGTTAATAAGATATAAGTGAAGTGACACAAGTATATAAGTATTGTATAAAATATTTACTATTTGAAACAGACCTACGAAGTTTATGCTCTAAAATATGACCATAATACTCTCTTTTATTATTCTCACTCTATTGAGGAAACAAACTAGTAGAATTATATATATTGTATTATTGTATAGACAATTAATGAAAGTAAAGAAAAATATCAAATATAATAAATTTTATTTTCCATTTAATGAGTGTTCAGAATAAATACATGTCTGTGTAATTGCAATAGTTAAATACAAGAAAAATAGAGACCAACATCCCAATCAAGAGCATTTAAGGAATACATAGACATTGAAGAATTTAATAAAATATTCACTACAACTAAGTAACATAATTAAAATATCTGTTTGACTATATTTCACTATCTTATTTATATCCATAACAGTTCAGAAACTAAATTGTTTTGACACAAGTAATTTAGAAATTATGTAAATACCACATCATCATTTTTAGAAAAAAAATTAACACAAGGTATATGCAATACATGCAAATTCTATTGTCTTTTGTATTCTAGCCATGTAAATAGCACAGTACGTACCCAATGTAGTTAAATGAACCACCGAATTGCACACCCGACTAAGTATTTTCCCGTTCCTAAAATTTATCTGTACTCACCAAAGCAGCATTAGTTACCGATGGGTAATTTTATATATTTTAAGTGCCTTAATAATTTAAAACCTGCTTAGTATTAAGAATACAATCAGCTAACTATAAATGTTTTATACGTACATCTTGGTACTTACAGAACAGCCTAACTCATACAATCTATCCCTCATCTGTTAAGTATTGTGATGAGCAATAAAGACTAGTGTTGGGCATTTTCTGAAAAGCATATTTCACCACAGTTAATGCCACTTCGATGTAGGGGATTTCGAACAATTCTACAGTAGATAGCAACATACATTTAAACAGTTGGAAGAAAAACATGAGCATGAAAATAAAATATAAATTGTTTCATTTGATAGAATCAAACTCCTAATGTGGATTAGAGAATATAAAAAAAAATACAAATCCCATGTTTCAGAGATGTCATTACATATTTAGTTGCATAGATATAATTAATACCTAATTAGAAGTTAAACAATCACATTAAATATTTCAATGCAACTTCATATTCAATTTATACAATAATGTATAAAAATAGTAACCATATTTAGATACTACTACTGTAAAATCAAGGATTTAGTTATAATGAAACCTCAGAAACTTATTATTGCCGTTGAGACCACTATTTGATTGAAGTTAAAGTACTCACCGTAGAAGATAGGATTTCATGGGGACAACATTGTAATAAAAAGGATTTGCAAACAGCGTCATCATAAAATTTAACTCCACGTCTATCACTTTCACCTGAAATTATGATAAAAATGGTTAATTCTGATTTACCCAAAAAAAAAACCATTAGCACTTTAACTAGTGTTAATATAGGTAAAATAATATCAAAACAAATGATTACCATTTCTTGCTGTACCCATTAATTGATCCAACATTGCCCTCATTTGCTCGTGTGCCGACATGGTGTTCGTTTGTAATGGCAGTGAGACTACTACGAAAAGAAGGTAGAAAATCTGTTGCAAACTTTCAATTAGCACCTGGCATTGTAATATAACGAGTTAATTGTTCTACTCAATATAACTAGGCGTAATATTATTTGAAATTTTTACATTAAATTGGAGAAACGATTAAAAGACGAAATACAATCAAAAATGGCGACTTTTATTTTTTTTATCGCTTTGAGACTTTGGATAAATAATAAATTATCACTTCAATGTTGCCACTGGCGTCTAGCCTAATATTTATGAACTATAATATAATGCAAAGACGGCGCCATTGCGTTAGAAATCATAAATGAATTCTGTGGTTTTAATAACATAATGTACTAACTGCTATAAATACATATATGTAATAATTACGACTTCTTGACTAAAACAGAACTAAATATCTAGAATAATCTATCTAGAGAACACATAACACTCAAAATACTCTTAAATGAGATGAAAAGGATGTCTTCCACGGACTTGTTGGTACTAACAGAAATAGACAAAGAATAGAATAGAAAATAATTAATTTAAATAATTCTTGAAGCACTTTTATTGAATAGTTTAACATTTTTTTTATCTTCAGTTCATTCGGAAAATTGTCTCATTGCAAGAAGAATGAATAAGAAACTTGCTTGTTGCAAGTTGCTTTTTAAATAACTTAGTTATAACTTTACTAAAAGTCAAAATATAAATGATGGTAAAAACTGTTTCCTGATATTTTTTTATTTGGTATTTCTTTTCTCGGGGAAAAACAAAAAGACTCAACTCATACACTGTTATTTGACGGATAGCCAGGTGTCTGTCGAAATATCGATACAGATAAAATAACAATTGAAAACTACTCTGTATGAGATCAACACTGATAACAGTCATAGTCATATTTTCTTTTTCCTGTTCTAATAAATAATAAATATTATTAAATGATTTTTACTGAATTTGCCACATTCAAATATTAAAATTAATTAATTAATTATTTCTGCGATGTTATCCATTAAGATAATACTTCCAGTGCTTCCAAATATTACCAAAGATTTATATTTCAAAGGCTATGTTAGAATAACAAGCAACTTTACATATTCAATTTTCATAACTAAATATTCAAGTAATATTCAAACCTTATTAAAAGAGAATAGTGAAAATGAAAAAAATATTTATGGTAAATGCAGCGATTTGCAAAACAAAATGAAAAAGTGCAGAAGCAAAATTCGGAACTGGTTACTGCTAGATTTCGTAAGGACAAATATTCAAATAAGTGAATTAATAATCAATGGTAGTAAAATATATGATACACAAAATTGTGTAGTAATTATATATGAACATGAGGCCATTCTTAATTCCGAAATGATCTGTGATACTGGAGAGTTTTTGGATTTACAAAATTTTGTTAGAAATGAATGTAAAGAATTTCCATGTACAGTTAGGTATGAACCAGTTTTTGAGATGCCACACTGGTTATCATCCTCTATGTTTATTCAGCATATTTTAAATTATATCAATGTAACAAAATGGCTATTTTATTCAATAAAAGGAGATAAGAAAGTAAGTTATGGTATATTATCATATATCATTTTATTCCTTATGAATGAATAAACAATGCACATTTAATGACATATATTATTTTTCTTATCGTATTTAATCTTATACTCAATGGTAACACATATTGTATTAAAAATATATGTATAGTATAAAGATATTATACTTTAGTATGCTGAGTCTCACAAATTCTTTCTATGTGTTCAATTCACAATGATAACACATTCTTACATATGTATATATTGAACCAACAATCCTTACTGGAATTTTATTTTGAAAATTATTAAAAATTAAGCATAAATTACTTATAGCTATAACAAATCATAAGAAGTATACAAAATATTGTATAATTTTTGGTGATAACAAAATGTTGCTCAATATTTTTGAAAATTCATACACTGAAATAAATAATTGACTTACATAACTTTATAAATAAAATATCTAATATGTATACTTTATACAAAATTGTTTACCATTAATTCCTGTTGTTTTTTATAGATGTCCATAAGGCAAGGTAATTTAATTTTGGCAATTATAACAGATCTCATTTTAGGATGGACTGCTATGGAACTAATAACACAGGATAAAAAAGAATTGAGTTCAATATTAATGGGAATGTTGGAGGTACACATTATAATCCTATAACCTTACTATAAATTCTATTAAGTCATTATATTTTGTAAATAAGAGATCAATGGGTCGATAAATATAATATAATTAAAAAATTGTCAGAAATATTTTTAAAACATGATTGGAATAAATGGCCATATGGAATGGACTATTGTAACTTGATATCCGAATGTGATCAATTTGAAAGATTTATATAATCAATATATTTCATTTTTTTAAAATGTTATATTATACAAGAATTATAAAAGATATTATGAGTATTATACATATTAACTGTAATTAATGTTTCTAGAAACTCATACATTTTCTATACATACTATTAAAATGGCTAATGGGTGCACCAGCCGGACTCAAACTTAACAATGCATTCAATAAAATGCTTGGAAAATATTTTTCCTATCACGTTCAACTTTGGTGGCAGTTTTTAGGTAAGTAATTATTATATAATATTTATATATAGATATATATAAATATTATATATATATATATATATATATATATATATATATGTAATATAATATTAGTAGTATAATAAGGTGTCATGTCCAATACTCATAGTAATAAATATTTTAGTTTTAATATTTATTACTATGAGTATTGGACATGACACCTCATCACACATCTACACACTATCTATAACACTACAGCTTGCTGTTGTTGATCGTTATGTTGATCCTTAGATCTTGATTTATAAAAATAAAAAGAGGAAAATCATAAAATACTAAATATTTTTTAAATAATAACTTCTTAAATCTGTAATAAAATAAATATATGTTTATATTGAATTTATTATTCTAATGGTTCCAGCACTATATTTGCCATATCAATGTTACAAAGATTTGCTCACAATTGTGTTTAATTATAATTGTTAGTAGTAATAACTTGACATCTCATTTTTTGCAGATGTTTCTGGTGAAAAACTAGACACAGCATTACAGATATACCATTATTTGGGTTATTTTGGATTTACATTTCAGGCTGCTGTTATATCTGATATGATATCAATAGCCACATTCCATTCCTACTGCATATATGTATATGCTGCAAGGTAAACTAAATCAACATTTTCAGTGAAATTTACATACTGCAGTTACAGACCATTTACAAATATACACTCTCTGAGGAGGAAGTAGTTTAATATGTATATCAAATTGCACAGTCTTTTAAGACTCAATAAAACTAAGACTTAAATTAAAAAAAAAAATGTTTTAATGACAAATTATTTTCTAAGCAACCTTACTTTAAGAATAGAATAGAATAGAAAATCATTTATTCAAATAAACTTACATTGAAGCACTTTTGAATATTATCACATTTTTTTTAATCTACCACTCTTTTGGAAAGCTGTCCCATCACAAGAAGAACGAGCAAGAAACTTGCATGTTGCTCTTTTATAAAATTTATCCTTACTTTAAGTGTGTGAATACAAACTACCGATTAGCACTAATTCAATTAAATAATCAAATATGAAAAAATATTGAATACACAACTGGTTAAACAATTAATAAGAGGAAATCATTGATAACAATACTGTTCATTAATTATAATTGATAAATAATAAATAACTATAAGACAGGTTGGGTCTTAGTTGTGGACAATTTCTGATATCAGTGTTAAATCACATTATTGTATACCTACTATATTATGTTTGTGTTGCAGGCTATTCAATCTTCAAATATCTGGAATAATTGCTTTACTAAGATTTTTTGTTGGAAGAAAATACAATCCATTGAAAGGTAGCATTGATTCATGTGAATACAGTAATCAGGAATTATTTGTTGGTACTGTGGCATTTACAATACTTCTGCTTCTATTACCAACCACAACTATGTATTATATTGTATTTACATTGGTAAGTTATAATTTACAACGGTCAATATTATCTAGTATCTTAGTAGAAATTATGCTTTGTATATCATTGCAGATTTTGTAATATGTACTCTGTGTACAATTAAATTGAAACGTAATATTTTATTTTTCAGTTTAGGCTATTAGTACTTATAATACAGTATATACTAGCTGAATTGATTTACACAATACAAACTCTACCACTGTATGTGGTAAGCCTGTGGCTAATGCACTCTCCTAAAGTAGCAGGTAAGTGTAGCTAGCCTCATTACACTCTACATATTCTGGCGATACGATTGAATATATATCTATTCTTATAAAGCTTTTTAGCATTATTCTGTTTTTATATTGAAAAAAAAACAATCGGTCAATTAGTTAGAAATATTATTTGAAATTTATTTATACCTTTTCTATAGAATCTATATGATGATGAAGTAAAATTGTGTTACTGACACAATTTTACTCCATCATCCATCGCGGATTGTAGACGAACCACTTAGTTTACATTTCCAAATATGAAATAGTTCATATATATAAACTAGTTTTAATAACTACAGTTGTTTTATATATTATGGATTATCATATAGTGAAAAATACAATATATAATAATAATAATAGTAACAATCCAGGACAATTCACACAACGATCTAGTCCCAATCTAAGCAGAGCTTATAGAGATACTAGACAGCAAATAAAAATACACAAATACATTTTTTTTTGTGAATACATACAAACCAATACAAACGATCGTATTCATGAATTCGAATGTTTGTACCGTATGTGGAATAAAGCATAAAGTTTATAAAAACTCTTGTATACACGTGTTTTTGTTTAAATCCTTTTATTGCTTACAGGAAAAATCTCCTTGCAGGTAATGAACAATGGAAAAGAATCATCATATTTGATTATAAGGCTAAAGCTATTTAGCAAATCAATTTCAGAGTTAATAACAGATTTCAGAGCTCCATTCAATGTACCAAAAAAATTTGAATGGACTAATATGTTATCCAATGTGTGTGTGGGGAAACAAATTGTGTAACTGTAGTAAATTATTTATTATTATTTTGTGTTTGAATTAGACTCCTACCTAATTGTTTAATATATTAGAATGCTATTAATCGACAACTAGCTAATTTTATTTATTTAAATACTACTAACATATTTTTCTATAGGATTAACTTCAGGGTACAAGTACGAGGTAGTAGGTAGTACGAGGCCAAAAATAATGGCTTATTACCCACATGAACAAAAATAGGCACTAGGTCGCAGTTTGAACACTATATACCTACAGGCCTAATACGGGACTAAACACTATAGATTGCAAATGAATCATCTGATCAGTTAGCGTCAATACAGCGTTAGATATAAAATAATATCTAGTTAAACATATTTAAAAAAATCACGAACGAAATTTGTCGCACAACGGATTCACGCTCTGCGAAAGTTTTTGTTTAATTGACGGGGCCGGTCGTTAGGCTGTCTACCTTTAGTATAGTGCTTAATAGAGTATCTCCTACCCCATATATAATTGAATAGTTTCATACAAATTAAAATTGATATAAGAACACCGCCATCGCTCCGCGTTGAGATTTAAAATTCATACAACATTTGGTGGTTGCCAGGAAACTCAGGTGAAGTGGCAAGGTTCGTAACAAATCGTTGTCGAGATAATAAAATACATTTTATGTCGTTATCATTTATTGGGCACAAAATTAAAAGTTTGGTCACCACACACGTTATTGCATAAACGCATAGAATAATATTTAGCATATTTATTTATACGTTATATAAAACAAATATATTTTACTGTAATCTGCGAAATTATACATTATATACATAGAAAAAAAGGATAATGAAACTCAGAGAAGTACTAAACCTACACAAATTCATTACCAAATACAATTCAAATGTTTGTGGAGGTCAATTGTAAATAAAAAACCTGCACTTATATTACATTGCTTTTATGAAATAGTATTTTACCAATTTTATTTTAATGGTATTTAATTAATTGAATCACAGTGTACAAGTAACTGACAAACATGTATTCATAAAATCTTTTCTGAGCTCAGTGAATAGGTCGGTGCGCGTGTGATCGATTTTAAAGTCCTCAGAGTGCTACATTAAACTTTATACCTCTAGGTACGGGCGACACGTAAGAAATTATGCTATTTAAACTAATTTAATAGAGATATAACCCTCTTGTCAAATTATATAAAATAATACCTAAACATTGATATAGTGCTAGTACTTAGCTTACAGGGCAAGATAAATATTTGTATATTGTGATGTTTAATAACAATACTCTATTAACTAGAAAAACTGGTCACTGGATGTATTGCGGGGTACCAAAGTATTGCGTGTTTTTAACACAAAATTAGTAATGACATGCCAAATACCATACACAAAACAGTTGTTATTATACAAGAGTTAGATACAAATTGAGGAATAATTTGATGAAAAGTTGTAACATATGTATAGGCCTGTTATGTAATTATATAACCAAAATTAATGAGGCAAATATTAACGTGTTATGCGCAGAATTAATGGAGTCACACCCCAACACATTTACTAGAACACTATACAAGAATATATAAACCACCATATCGAAATTATTCAATATGATTTTCTAAAAGATTACATTATTGCAAATTACAAAAAATAACCATATCTAAATATTACATATTATATTATTGATATTTCATAAAATTTTTGTATTATCAACGATTTATACACATTTATACTAATTATTTACAAAAGTACACTCCAAAATATTTATATCCACCAATAGACATGACCAGGTGCATACCAATGTTGCATATAAATCTAATGGTATATTGATAAACTCCTGGAATGCATGAAATTAAAATCAAATGTGTAATAAAAACACACAATATGTAAAATGTAGAGATTAGTTCACGTTATATATCTACTATGCATGTGCTCTACTGGCGACACAAAAATCATTGTATTAAATTCATTTGCCACATTCCAGCGATGCATATATGAAATACTAAGAATTAATAGGCATTGCAAATTGTTATCGCAATCTCCTTTCCAAATTCTTAAGTATAAGAGTGCAGATAAGCTCCTGAAACTCTTATTCCTATATACGTAAAATATTTGGACGTTGTATTCTATAATTTTAAATAAAATGAATAGGTATGTATGTAATCAGCTATATATTTTTGCAACTTATGGTGATCTCCGGTGGGTAGGCCAAAAGTCACTATTACAACATCTTAATTGTTTTATTACGATCACAGACATTTTTAAGTTAGGAAAATGTGTTTTCGATCACAGTACATAAGGTTTACAATCAGCAAGACCATAACGTGAAGCTATTTATTTTCTGACAAAGCTTTACGCTAAACAAGCTAGTCTGCACTTTGCAGTGGAGAGATGATAATCGCCATGCTTAGTTCTTCAGTACACACCTGTAGTCCTTATTGACATCCGAACTTGAATTTGGTGAGTGTTCTTTAGGTCTAACTGTACCACGACACGATGCTAATTTTGATTCCAAAGCCTACAATGAAGAAAAAGTACATGGTATGAATGATGTTAATATTAGTAAGTGACAGGAAATTAATGTGCGGTTACCACCATCACCTCGACTAAAGGCAGCCACATGAGTAAAATAATTACAAATGTATAAAGTATAAAGATGACCCGCGATATTTGAAAAGTTAGTTTATTTATGTGTGGGTGTACTAAAACTAATCATATGAAAAAATATATACATTTATTTCTTGTTCAAATGTATGGCACCATACCATTTTTAGCAATAGTAGTAACTATTTATAGTTACCTTACAAAAATAACATTTATAAATACTGTAGACAAAAGAAACAATTTCAAAATATGCAATATTTATATTATCATAAAATCCTGTCGACTAAAAAGTATCATTAAAATCGGTTCTCAAATGGCGCTTATTAAAACTAAAATATATTCTAGTCAAATTAAGAACCAGGCTTCGGTTCGTAAACCAAATTAAATTACTTACAATCTAATATCATTAGTATTTTGAAAAACTCACTAGTACAAGTAATAAGTACTTGTGTTAGTGAGTTTTCAAAATACTAATGATATCAAATAGAAACTGTACATGCCAATTGATGATTCTAACAAATAAATTTCGTCATCTAGTATAGAATATTAGCGCAATACTAAAATGGATGTAGTGTTTATGAAAAAGTATAATTTCATAAACAGAGGCCTCCCACGATTATGCAACAATAATAATACTATTACTAATTAGTTTAAATATCGAAGAAATTAGTGAATTATCACTTTATAGATTAAAGTCTACTGCTTATTTATCTGCATTCTGCTGAATATGATTGCAATGTACAATGACAATGTATATAAATATAACAACTTATGGAATGTGACTATAATCCACATTATACTTTTCTAAGTACTTTTATTTACATATATAGTTAAATTCATAGTTGTGTAAAAATAATTGCCGAATAGCAAACTTTTGGCTAAATCTTAAATAGTAAATCTACGATTATATTATGACGTTTTACTTCTGTATTCCAAGATTTTTTAGTGTATATTTTTTCTATACTTATTTATTTACTCCATTTTGTTTTTGTATACACACCTATTGTGTTCTCATCTATCAAAATTATTAATAGATACCTAAATCTTTTGTAATAAGTTCATAAAATTATAATATGCATGGATATTAGATACGATGTTAGCTACTACATAAATATTTAATTATTTTGTACTAAAGCAACTCACGGCTCTGCCTGCATTTACTTGCAGAAGTAGCTAATAATAAATAGAAAAAGGAATTTAAAAATGGGACTAATATTTTTGGAGTTAATCCATTAAACGATCATACAAAAAATTAACTATTTCCTCTTTTAAACATCAGTAATGAATACGTATTAATTATGTATGTACAAAAAATAAAATAAACTTCGTGACATATTTAATATAGGTCATTGTCTAATAGATTGTTTGGATTTTCCTTGCTCTGAACCTTTTCTTATTGAAGTAAAATTTAGTAGATTTTCAATTCCTTCTCTGGATCGTACAGCGAACGATCTTCTTAATTTTCCATTTTCTCCTGTCACAGATCTCGTGAAAGGTTCAGTGGTTGACTTTTCCATCATGTAAGGCGACTTTTCTGATACACTATCTGATTTCCTTGAATCAGTATTTTGTTTAACATGTTTCCGGTACTCTATCGAATCATCTTTTAATTCATTGTTATTCTTGATGCTGGCTTCACAAGTTGGCGATAAGTGGTCGCTTTCAGCCGTAGAAGGTGCATCGCATGAGCATTTGACCTTACCACAATCACGGCAAAGAAACCTTTCAAGCTGCAAGCAATAAAGACATGCATACTACACAAAAACAACCATGCGGAGTAAAAACTACTACTATCTACATACTATCTACTGATGAAATAATAGAATGGTCAGTTATCACATTTCATGTCATACCATAATTACATAAGAATGAAAAGTACTAACTCTCCATAGTATAGTGGTGTTGCCACACATTACCAAACATTGGCAATATCTTATCACCCTACCAATACCTTCGTAACAGTGTACACACGATATAATAATTAGTATAATCCGAAATTTGAAATCGAAACCTAATAACTACAACTATAACGTTGTGATGTCGGTTTAGTGCAAAAAAATAATTGCTTACACTTTTCGAATGTAAGCTTAAACTCATTCGTAATATTCATTGATTTGAATGAGTTCAATAACTTTCTCCAAGGAATATTGGTAGAAATGTAATAAATAACTAAAAAAGAACAGTACACGACACAGAGCTTGTAATCGGACACAGAGACAAATACAGACAGTTTGTTTGTAAACATAAATGTTTCTTATTTAATGGATTTATAGTATTTTGTTTAATTGCACTACCAAAGTTGACTAATCGGCGACTAAATAGCGACTGCCGAACAGTCAACACTAGGAGGTTTACAAGCTATATCCGACTTCTATTTGATGCCTGACGGTGCCTAGTTCAGAGGCGAAACATTCGCAATGTGGGTGATGACTCAATAACGGTAGGAATTTGATCAACAATAGAAAAGGTCGAAACGCTTCCAATAGCAGTGGTATGGTTTCTGCACTGAATATTTGTGGTCTCACAAATGTTAATGATAGTGGAATTTAATGGATTTATATTATGTTGTAATACAACATAATATATACCCATTAAATAATGAAATGGACTTCGAGGAAATAACCAAATGTATAAATGTTTGTATTATGCAATCGAATGCGCGAATATACGAAAATAAAGTAGTGTGGATTTTAATTTTGTTGACATGTGAAAACGAGCAAACGACTCCAAAACAGAATAAAGTAACACTTCGATATTTTATTTCTGTGCGTGTATAATATAATACTATGCATTTGTGTGTGTAGTTCACTTCTATTTTATTTCCTTGAGAAAAGTTGTAGAAATATACGTATTATACATTAATAAATATATATGTATAACTAAACATATACGTGCTGAATTAAGCAGATACAATACAAATTACGTACTACTAATTATAAGCGGTGAAAATATACAACATAGAAGTAACTACATCTATACATAAAAAACGAACTCTTAAACTAAATAAAAAATAGATTCTGAGAAAGATAGCGCATAATAAATCGTAATTAAAAAAACCAAGATAGTGATTTAACCGATAACTAGACAAGTTTATCGATTTAAAGTAAATTATGAATCAGATAGAACTTAATGATTATTAATATTATAATATGATACATACTGTCAAGGACCACAGTTAATTCGTAAAGTATTAGGTACTACACATTTTTTATTTTCACATTAATTTATAAAAAACATCTTTTAATTCTACAGTACACTTTATATAATTTCTCAATATACTGCGTAATATTTTTAGCAGTAATGTGTATCGCTATTATCCAAAAATATAAAAAAGGAGACATAGATATTTTAAAAAGCATTATTAATATAAATACTTATTACTAACCCTACGCGTATTTTCTGGTTAGGATATGATAATATTAATTAAATAGATAAAATTTACATGAATATTCTAAGTAATTAATTCCAATACAAATTAAGCAATATTAAATTAGGCTAATCTAAATATTTTTGATTATTAACTATAACTTAAACACTGTAAAGAAAGATATACTACAATAAGTACTAATATAACTTTTAATATTGCATAAATATTATAACTCACCCCTACTTTCCTTAGAAGATCGCCTACTATATTTATGGCTGATACTCGAGCTGAGGGAGTCATTGCATTTCCATTTATCTCTCCTATTGAGAAAAAATTAATTGAGAAATAGAACTGATTACAATAAAAACAGACTGGGCTGATTATAAAATATAAATTGTGTTCTGTTTAAAATAATGAATTCAAAATGAATTATATTAAGCTACTTACTTTTTTGTGGTGATGAGAGGCTTTGTGGTTCTATTTCAACCTGTGTCCGGTTAGAATTTGTAATGTGGCCATTAACTACTGTATTCTCATTAGGAATACCATCTTCTTTCTTGTGCGGTGGAATTCTTTCTACTACTTTTAACTCTTGTTTCAGATCTATAAACATAAACATTAACTGTACTTTTCTCAAAGTACTTTTATTTAGTTAATTATGATAGTATATATATGCAGAATGTTTTTAATATTTTTTCTTTCCCTTACGATTTTTCTCTTTTGGGACAGACAGAATGAAGTTAGAGAAACAATAATATGTATAAATTGATATATTCACTGACTTCAAAAAGGAATATTATATCTTTAATATGTTTCGAAACATGAAAGTTTTTTTAAGTCATCTTATTAAATTTCTTATCCAAAAGTTTTTAAGTGAAAGTGATTATTTGCCTGAAACATTGATACTTAATACTAAACTGATTTTTACAATAATTTTTTAGTTGTAAGGGTTTACTTCCAAAATGTTTTGCCTTTTCATACTATTGTCATGATTGAATATATGAAATAAATAACAATGATATGTTTTATATGAAATACAATAAATTCTGCATGTACAATGTGTGTAATTTACCTCTGGCTTCATCTGTTGCTCTTTGCAATTTAACTCTTAAATTTTCTATTTCATCAACTTCACTCTCTAAAACTGCATTCCTTTCGTATGCCTGGTTTAACAAGGTCTCAATACATGACACAGATTCAGATATTACCCTGAAAAATAATAATTTAGATTTACGGGGATTTCTGTAGAATAAATAGTAATAAAAATATATGGATATTATACTTAAATATTATAAATATTATTCCAAAAAAATTACATAAACAATAAAATAAGAGTTCACTAACCTGATCATAGGAAGTAAAGAAGTAAGTAATTTTGAAACTTTCGTACTTTAACATACATTATTTAAATTATTAACCAGGTATTAACATGAATAATTTTATGGCAAATAAACAAACTCTCTCGATGTTTCAACTTGATTGCACTAGCACCTCATGACCATGTCTAATGCAACTTAGTTGTGTTAGGACCCAGTTATTAATTTAAATAATGTATAGGAAATAAATGTCACTAAGTTATAAGTAAATAAATATTTTTTTACCTTTGACCTCTTTCTAAGTCATCATTTTTTTGTTCTAATTCTCTTACATAAACAGATTGCTTGTTCTTTTCTATTTTTAATGCCTGTAGTTCACTCTCCAAAGCATTAGTTTCATGTTGACTCCTCTCTAATTTATTCTAAAACATTGAGCAAGGATTGTTTATATTTACTGTATGGTTTTAAATATTACTCAAAGAATTTAAAAAATACTTACTTTTAGCATTTCAATTTCATTTTTAAGTCGTTGATTTTGATTTTCTAAATCTCTGTTCTGTTTTTCAACTTGTACCAATGATGCTTCTAACTCTTTTTCGAGTTGTGCCGAGTTTTCAGTATATTCATCTAACTCCTGCTGAAATTCGATGGCTCTAAATTTTAAAAAAATAATAATTTTAGTATGGTATAATCTGATAGTAGAACTACAAAAATTATAATAACATTAAATCATTACTTTTGTTCATAATGTTTAGCCTGTTTTCTCCAATAGTCCGACGACTCAGATTCGGACTGCCTCGGAGATTCCATGTTAATAAGGTAAAACAATAAATTTTAAGTTCCAACAAATATCTCAAGGATACGTTCACACTATTGAATCATAACAAAAAAATTACTAAAACATCTAGAAATAGATAATATGTATTTTTAGGTAAATATCAAGACAAATTTTTAAGAAATACTTTCGTTATTTTAGTAGAAATGGGCCGTTAGAACGCAAATTATGACACAATTTGTATTCTCAAAACAAGTAATTTTTTTTATGCCAAATAAACTAAAATGGCCGCGAAATAAGTGTTACCAGGGTGACGAAGGAATAAAACATATTGTATGTAATTATCTGTTAATGTTGATGGTTGAATATAAATTCAAATAAAAAAACATTAATTTATGTAATATATTTTGCTTATGTAAGTATAGTTTTTATATATTTTTAGCGGCATATTGAGTATATTGAGTGTTCGTCTGGTACAAGCAAGGAAAGGGCGGTGAAAGGATGACTCCAGTTATGGCTTTTATAAATGTGTATTCTTGAGTTATTACAGAGGTTGAATAATATTAATAATATGTACCACAATATTACTTATATGAGATAAGAAGGGATTCGGTCCGCCAATGACAGCATCGCTAGACAATAATGTTCCCGCACGCTATCCGTAGATTCCTCACATACTAATATTTTTAAACTTAATACCGTTTTTATTACGTTCAATAAGCGATGATAAAAATAATCGGTAGCGTTTTTATGCTTTATTTATTTAAAGATACTAAGCGTCATTTAAATGGCGTAATAATAGTTGAAATCACCTTTCTTTTCTATATCGTGTTTGACTCCGATTTTAGGTATTTCGCCAAAAACAAAACTGGGAAATATCATTAATTATAACTAATAACGCTATATATAGGGTTAATGATTAGGTTAGGAAATTATATATACATAATAATATAGGATATGATATTTACGACTAAAATTGTATATGATACGGACCACATTGAATTAAATTTTAATATTATTTAAATGTATAAATTCAGCTAAAAATGTACAAATAATAGGATCATCTGGACGTCAGTTCTAAGTCTTTCTGATCTGTGTTTGACAGTATTGGCAGTATTTGTTCTCTATGTCTGCCTGTCTGATCTGTGGTCAACACGTCTCACGTCAAATGAAATAAAAATAATTATTTGTGTGGTGGTTATATTAATATTTAAAATATGAATCATTTAAAGTTATAATAGAATAATAATAACAAATTTTACTATGTATGTGACTTTATATTTTGTTTACGTTATTAGTATACGAACATTCCTTGGGAAATATATTTTGCAATGCCACATAACATAACAGGAGATTGAAATTTAATTTACATTTGTTTTCTAATGACGTGTAATGTTTCCAACGGCGAACACTGAAGACATCGTACAGGTCACGTCATTTAAAACAAACTCAGGTGGTTCTAGCAATGAACGAGATCCCCTTTCCAGTACACAAGTCGCCAAACAACAAAACAGGGACATAACGCTCAATATGTTGATAAAAGAAATGGTGTTTTGCGTAGCATTGGCTTTAACAACCTATGGGGCTCTACACAATACGTGAGTACTTAACATATTTTATCATCCTCAACATATGCTGACTTACCTGTATACAATGCCTACAAGCAGTATACATGTGACTAATTAGCCCTGTCACCCTCACATTACACCTATTGTACCTTTTGTATCCATGATTGCATTTATTTTTTGGATAAGACCAGCTTTAAAGAATAACAAAACAGTTAATTATTTCTTGTAAGCAATAAATACAGTATCTATATTTGTGTCCTGCTAATTGACGTTGTGTATAGGTAAAACAATATGTTATTAGTATTTCAGAATTTTCAGTAAACCAACCTTGTTTCAACAATTTAAATACTTATTTAATTTGTATCAACAGGGTTGAAATGATCATCACAGGCTGTTGATTTTATAGCTTTTTTTTAAATACATTTAGATTAAAAAAAAAGTAGTACATAATTAGTGTCAAGATTTTTTTTATAGTTCTGATGACTTGTTCTAACTCCTGCTTTTAATTTATATACTGCAATGACTGCAAAGTTTTGTACATCTGTATTCTGTATACAATCTGTATATAATTTGTGTTAATAATTTTCCAGATCAACAAAAGTATCAAAATACCCACAAGCTGTGAGATTTTTTAGTACAGACTCAATAGTGAAAGATTGGTACAGGGGTCAGCTGAGTAATGCTCTGTCAGCCATAAATAGTGTTGACGTTTCATTTGTTATGTATTATGCTCCTTGGGATGCTGAGTCACAGTATGTACGAGGAGAGTTTGAGAAGGCTGCTTTAATCTTAAGAGATTATGTCAGTATTTTATCTGTGTTTTATATTCTTATATAATATTCTTAATATTAATTATATTGCTACAATAGTTATGGAAATGAAACATTATCAAAAGAGACACAATTATTGTAAAAACCGTTTGTAGAGTATCCAGAATACTCTAAACTTAATCTTAATAATATTATAAATGTTTGTAAAACATTTATAATATTATTAAGATTAAGTATGGATGTTTGTTACTCTTTCTCACAAAAACTATTCAACGAATTTTAAAGAAACTTTACAGTAATATAGCTTATGTATCAGAATAACACATAGGCTAAATTTTATATTGAAATTTAATGCGGATGAAACCTCAGGCACATCTAGTAGAAAATATAATACTGGTAAAAGATATAATTGGATTTTTATATTTCAGGTCCATTTTTCTGCTATAAATTGTTGGAATCCAGGCAGTGAATGTCGTCTACATCATAGTAAGATACCTTCATGGCCAATTTTAATGGCTTATACTGTAAACTCCAGAGGAGTCCTATACAAAGGTATAAGCTAACCTTTCCACAAATTTATATCACGGATCCACAAATATAACACTTTAAATAGAGTAACAATAAGAAAATAACATTTTGATAATCACAAAATTATCTCAGAGTATAACACAACATCCAACATTTCTCACTATGTTTTAAAGAGGAGGGAGTCACTGTATGCACCATTCTTGAATATGCCTTTCAATAATAATTCTTTTTTACCTAAACCAGGTCCTAGAGATGCTCACAGTATGGTAAATTTTCTTCAAATGATAATGAAGCCATTAGAGCGAGTGTCAACTACAGAACATCTTGTACATTTATTATCTATCTGTGATGTGAGTTCATAATATTAGTTTTTTAGTATTTATTTTATGTAATTTATAAATTTGTTTATAGTTATTATTGAGATATTTTTTATAGCTCTAGTTTATTACATATATATACAATATAAAAAAGAACTAGCAACATGTGAAAATGCCAAAAATATTGACTCAGTAAAAGTTAATTCTATATTTAATATTTTTCCAATATACTTTGAAATACTCAGTTTTATACCACAATCTTAAATATAAAATTTATAAATTCTAACTTATAAATGTCAAACTACACCTATAGCCTAATTTTAACTACATATAGAACTATTTCTATAGATACAGAAATATTAGACTGAACATAGGCTATAACAAGAGGGTGGAAGCTAGTCTATACATCTGTAAATGTAATGTAATCTGTGCTGGTCGCTGCACATACTAACATTATTATAATAAATAATGTTGTATACCTTACTATATATTATATATAAATATTGTACATGTGATATTATATTCCTAATGCTTTTGTTGCATTTAAAATTCAAAATCAATATTCAATATGGAGAATCAGATAATTAGACCTGATTCTCCATATTGAATTTTAGTTGAAACATACTTTATGTATGATATATCATCTGTGTCTGAATGATAATAAAACCTCTTGTGCTCAGCCCATTCTGAGTAATAGTAATGCTTTTTACAACTCAAGAACTGTTTCTATTTATGTATAACTAGCTAACTCGCTCAATTATCTGAAGTTCCCTTGTTTTTGCAACATTTTTCATTGCAGCTCTGCTCTTACTGGTCATATCATTACCTTATATACCCTTCAGTGATATCCATCTCTATTGAATTCGAACTAGTATTTTCTAAATAGTCTATCATAGACATAGACCCTTTTTTTTATTTAATATATTTGGAATAATTCTACAACTGCAGGCTGTAGCTGTTGGATACACTCCACTAACAGATACCTCACGATATTATAATATTTGGTATTATGCTGCTATGAAAGCACGCGAGTTTGATACCGTTGGAGAAATATGTTTTGCAGTGGTTACCTCAGAAGAACTTGCAATAGATCTTGGTGTTGAGGTAATGCCAAATGCAAGAATGATGCTATGGAATGATACAAAGGTACATTAAAATTATAGTAATATGTATTAAGATTTCATTTTCAGATGATTTTTATTATTAATATTGAATACCAGCTGAGCCAACAGATTTTGTCCTGTCTTAGAAAATTCATTATATGTCAGCAAATGCTTGAAGTCAAATAGTCATTAAGTATACTGAAATATTGAAATTTTCTGCACAGTTTTCTTAATTTTTGTTCAGTAAGAACTTTCTACAAACTATTAGAAAACAATTAAAAAGAATGAAATTGCTTAAGTAATTATCAAGGGAAATAGGGACTCATTTCTATATATAGAGACAGTAGTATCACCAATTCAGTTACTTTTTTCTACATTCACTAAATTGCATAGAGTAATGTGACTAAATATGTTAATAAACAGGAATTTTTGAATAATGGTGATATACAATCCTGGAACGAGTCATCACTTCTACATTGGGTTTTGGAGAACTTCTCGCAACCGGTTGCACGTGTGATACCCATGTGGAAGAAAGCATTCAGTTTTGAAAGATATGTTGATGGAAATCCTATATTAATATTATTCACACCACTTAATCCTTTATATGAGCAATTGCCTTCTTATGATTTGGTAAGTAAACATAACTTATACTTATAATTTGCTTTGGAATTGGAAATTTGTGATAAATTATTGAAGAACCTGTAGCTCAAGGAATTTAAAAGTGCAATTTAAATACTGTTGTAATTATTATTAATTATTGAAATTTGTTATCTGCTACATGATTAATAAGAACTTAATTTAATCTAAAGTAGCTAAATAAATATGGCTAGTAAAGTAACAATGTTAGTAATAGTTATCTACAGCAGACCTGTCCCTGCAAATAGCATCTGTTTATGGGTAGTATGTGAAATTATTTACATTTTTAGTTACGCGAAGTGGCCATGGAATATTACAATTGTAATAATAATGAGAGCACACAATGGACATCTGAACTAATAAAATTGCAACAAGTCCAAAGACTTTTATATCAGCAGAAGGATTTTGTAAAATTTTGCCAACAGTATAAATTCAAGAAATCTGTAAGTAAACATAATCTCTATTACAAGAAGGAGATTGTTTCACAAAACAATAAATATCCATGGAGCAATGTAACTCAAAAAAGTCAGAAGACTGGATCTGTAAATATTCTTATAAAAAGGGGCCTTCCTATCCCGAAACTTGCAGACGGCTCTTATGACGAATCTCAAGTGTTATCTTCTTTAGCTCTATTGCAAGAATGCATTTCTACAGAACTACCAGCTGAAAAAAGTTTTTATGATAACTATGAACAGTGTCAATCACAAAACCACGACAGAAATGTCAATATTGAAGAAAATTCAGAAGAACATCTAACTAAGTGAGAAACATTTATTATTCTTGAATTTTGGAAATTTTATTCTAAAAATATTAAGAGATTACTTCTAGTAATATTAATTTGTGTTATTTACTCTTTATATAAAAAATATTGAAAGAAAAATCTCTTTCTATTATATTGAAATAATAATACAAAATCAGTATGGAGAAATTAATAGGTATTTAAAAAGGAGCTTATAATTACAATATATTCCCCCTCTATTGCATATTATGGTGTGTGAAGTCAACAATGTAGTAAATAGATTGTATTTAATGCATTAAAAATGAACATTTATTTGCAGCTTGGAAACAACAATGTTACCTTTTGAAGATGATCCACTTTCACCGGATAATTTGGTACAAGAGAACGTAAAACATTTTTGTAAATTAATGAAGTTTGCCTACGAGACTAACCCTCCTGCAGCTCCGACCAGGATTCCTACCAAGGAGGAGAAGCAAAATATGACAAACGTGCATGGATTAGCTTGTGCTAAAAACTTTAGTCTTCATATGTTAGCTGTTGACAGTGTTGCCAACCACCATTTCGCAGAATTTTTAGGTATTGATATATCTAAACGAAAAGACAAAACTATTGCTGTGATATTGAATAGTAAGGTAGGATGGATATATTATTCATTTGTCTAGTTTCATTCTTTCTAGCCTAAAAAACATTGATAATTAGGAGGTTTTTGGTTATATTTAATTACACATGTCTTAATTTTTGACAATGTGTATTTGTGGAAAAGTTACCTAGAACTTTTAGTCAATAGTTAATTTTAAACGTTAGTGTTTTGTATACTTTATTTATACTCTTAACCGGGTCTTAACAGGAATAATTTTATGTTATATTTACGAATAATTTCAGTAGCATCAGTCAGTAAGTGTATGGTTACCGTGAGTGCTGTTTGTCGCGATCTTTCGTTGGACAACCCAGTGACGGTAGTTGAAAAAACTGCTAACACCAACATTGCCATTGCTGTTACTCCAGTCAGCTCTTGACCAAGGCTAGTGCAACCTAAACGACACATTGAAAGTCAAATATTTTTATTTGTCATAAAATTATTTTTAGGACCCGGTTAAATATATAGTTTATTGCTACATGAAATACACAATCTCTTATATAATAATAATATTTTGTTGTTTATTTGCAGCATGAAAGTCAGTATGTTCTCTCTGAGGAATATAGTGCCAAATCAATTCGAGATTTCATTTATAATTTTACGTATAAATCGCTAAAACGTTCTTTACGCACACATGTAGAGGACGCAGCCCATACTCATTACTATGGATCGGAAGGGAAGACAACAAGTAAAGGGACCAATAATAGCAGTATTGAAGTAATAGACTTGACAACACGCAGTTTTAAAAAACTCATAAATACACCAGGCACGGTAAGTAATGTTGTAGTTATCTATTTATACCTAAATATAGATTATTAATATTTAAAAATTGTAAGTTATTATTGTTGTCCACAATTAGTAAATAATATTTGCGAGCACTGTGCTTAAAGAGTAAAGTGTCACTGTTACCAAAAGGGCCTAAATTAAAAAGTAGTTTTATAGAATTATATAATAGAAAAAAGGTAAACAAAGAGGTCACTAATCCGGTCATAAACTCTCTATTCATACCGATAGACCGAATCAAAATTCGATATTTTGATCGAGGTTATCAGTCCGCAGCCGGTGTGCTAGTGCTAGTAGTAGGTATGTCCCGTGCGGCAGGTATGGTAGCGGTAGTAGTAAGTCTCGTACGGCCGGCGTGCTGATGGTAGTAGTATGCCACGTGCGGGCGGTGTGGTGGCGGTGGTAGTGACGTGCAGTGGTACGCGTGGGGCGGGCAGGTGCGGCTGGTGATGGTGTGCGGCGGGTCGTGCGGCGCGGCGCGGGCGCGGGCGCTGGCGGCGGCGGCGCGGCGGCTGCGGGCGGCGAGCGTGCCGGCGCGCGCCGCGCGGCTCGACGCGCTCCGGCACGACCTGCCGTGGCAGTACTCCGGACACGTTCACCCCACCGTCTTCGTATTTCCCGCCGACATGTATGTATGACTATTATATATATCTACCATACTTAGTCTTGCCATAAATATTGTTTTTCTATTGCATATAAAATTTATTACTGTAATGTGTGTTAGTGTAAACATTAATATAAATACATTAATTAAAATATATATAAGCTTATTCAAAATGATCTCCATTAGCTGCAATTTTATCGATGCTATAGGGACTCCAATTATCTTAGCGTTTAGAGCAAATCATGCTCTCTATAACTGACCATAAACCATAATCCATTAGATTAAGATCGGGAGTAGATGACGGCCAGTCTTCCACTTTGATGAAGTCCGGAACATTCGTTTCCAACCAAGTTTGGGTGGATCGTATTTTATGACCTGTCGCTGAGTCTTACTTAAAGGCCCATTCTTGATTATGGAACATAGTGTTTTCAACCACCTTCTCAAGAATGGTGTCTTAATACACTTGTGCCGTTGTTTTGATACCTTTATACAAAAATATGGCTTAGTCACTTCGTCATAACTAACACCCTACTAAACCATCACTGAGGTGGGAATAGTTTCCATATTGTATTCTGCTCATTAATTGGGTAGCTTTTTTACCGCTTTGAGCATAAACACGGTCATTGTCCTTGTTAAAATATTCCTCAATTATAAAAATTAACTCATCCGTAAAAAAAATCTGTGACTTCCCTTTGCCTACCACTTTAGCGTAGTTTTGATTGTAGCATCATATCTTTTTTAAATTATTAGTTAAGTAAAGACAGTGCTATAGGCTGCAAGTAGGTACGTAGTCATCTTTTAAAATACGCAATATAGTTCTAGGATCTATCTTCATCTCGCGTGATAGAATCTTTTACTTTCTGACAGAATTTCTTCCAAATCTTTCCCTTACTGCTTTTATTGATTGCCACATTGCGTGGACGGCCAGATCTTTTTTTATCACAAACAGAGGAGGTTTCATTGAAGGTTAAGAAGGGTAAGTTAAGTCAAATACAATTTTTGTATTGCACACAAAGCATCTTTGTGTAACAAAGATGCTTTGTGTAATGCAATCACAGCGTTTCGGTTTTCTTTACAACCCCACTCCATTTTAATATGACAAAAATAGTTGACAATCGATTGGCGCGAAATTGAGAAAACGTAGTGATCATTCGTAAAAGAATGACAGATTCCAAATTCAAATCTAAGTTTTTTTTAAGTGTAATAGTATTTATGTCCAGACTATGTATATTTTATTGTAAAGTTATATCTGTCGCTCTCTTTAAGGCGACAACTTTTTGGCCTATATGTTTTATTCCTGTGTGTATATTTATTTCTTTTTTTCTATTATGTAGATTATATTATATACTTACGTAAGTGTTGAGACGATTGTATAGCCGTGTAGGTATAGTATAATTGTATACGCAAATCTTAACTCTCGCACTTTTTTTAATTGGAAATATAAGTGAAGCGTCGTACACATACTCCCGCAATAATGGTTTCGTGTGCATCGTATCCAGTAATCGGTTTCAAAATCCTAGAATCTAATTACAGAGTATCGATGAATAATTTGGTCCTTTGGGAAGGATCAAGTCCCGAATTCTGTATACCACTTCCCGTCGCTTAACATGCTTGCATTCCGTTTACATAAAAAAGTGCCAATATACAAAAAGAGCGCCACAGATATCACATCAACATACCATGACCTGAATTGGGTTAGACAAAGATACACACAGACAACTTTGCGCAAAGGCAACCGTTGCCAATTGTTTGAAGGAATCAAATTATTTTATGAGATGTTTAGTATTTTCCATAATTTAGGTTTTCAGGTCGTTTGCTATTGCCATTATTCCAATAGAGTTAAGTAAGTAAGCAATGTCACGCCAACTTACTAAATTATAAATCAATACGCACTGAACGGTTTTATCGTCACAAACGTTTCAAAAATCCATTGTTGTCTCATTACATACAAATGTAGCGAATTATAGTTATTATTAATTACAAGTATAAAGCATTTTTTTTATCAAATTTATGTAGCCGATTGTGATAAATTACACATAGGTACATAATTATAACAATGACTTAATTTAAATGACACGGTGTTTGCATAATCCAATATTAATTATCTATTTTTTGTCTCTTAATGAGAAATAGCTGTTTTAATTATCCAATTTATTAATCATTGCACATTTGGTATCATAGTCTAAAGGTACATAACTTGTATAATATAATATTACATATATATGTATGTATGTATTATATATAAAGGTAAGCGAGCGTATATGTGATGGAGATGGAATATATGTAAGTATTATACAATATAATAAACCTACAAAAAAAATGTCGCCGAAAACTATCAAAATCCGTTGCTCGATTTATAAGCAGTAAGTAGATAAACAGAAAGACATAAACAGCAACCTTATTGTGTTCTATTGAAGCCAAAGAAATGTATTTTATAATTGCACCACTTCCATTACTCTCTGAATATCTGATGATTGAGTTTACTAAGAAGAAGACCTATAGTCTTTTTCTTCTCTTCGACTGCTCAAGGCCAAGGTCGTGACCACAAGGGATGCTCGTTTCAACAAATAATAATAATAATCTCAGGACAATTAACACAACGCCATCTAGACCCAAGTTAAGCTAGCTAAAGCTTGTGGTATGAATACTAGATAACTGATACATATACAATAATATACATAGATATATTTTTTTGTAAATACATACATATTATACATAGAAAACAACCAGACCGATACAAACAATCATACTCATGAATACAAATGTTTGTGCCGTGCGAGAAATCGAACCCGCGACCATCGGTCGTAAAGCGGTGTGCTAGACCGCTAGACCACCGAGGTCGTCAAATATTCCAGGGTTCTCTTATTTGTGTCAAGTGGATCACTGACTGTATATTTAGCTTGACTAATAGTAAGTAGTAATTTCTCACTCGTAATAACTACTTACTCAGTCGCCTCACTATGCCGTCACATACACGGCATATACATTACGTGTTAATGGATGATGAAGATGTAAAGTCAAAAATAGATTTAAAAAAAGAACTGATCTAGCAACAATTTGTAATTACTGTTATATTTGACTTTGTAGAGGGTTTATTTTATTTTACTCGGTGTGTGTTGCAGGGATAAGGAAGCAGAGAGTCGGTCGTACCCGTCGATGGAGCGCATCACGTCGAGTGGTCTGGTGGCGCTGGCGCTGCGCTCGCTCGCGCCGCCGGAACAACTGCGTGTGCGACTGCACATCTGCCAACGTGCACATGTACGTACTGTGTACCCGCTAAACACTACATAAATATAGATGGAAAATAAATCAGGATGTAGCGAAGTTTTTTTAAAATTTCTAAGGATATATATGATGATTGTAGGATGAACTACTTGCCGAGGTTTTCCCTAGAGACTACAGTATAGGGTTAAGATAAAACAACCAGGGTATAAGATTTATTAAGGGTTGACAACGCGCACGTGATTTCTTGCCGTATTTAGACATATGAAATCGGTTACAGTTAACGTTCGGAATTCGGAAAACGATTGAACAAAAATTTAAATGTGACGAAAGTGAAGTGAACAGTTTGGCATAAGCAAAGCCTTGGGAAACCGTTAGTATGTAGGTATCGATTATATTAAAATAAAATAATATTTTTCAGGCGAATGAGGAAAAGAAAATATGTCTAAAATACACGAGGGAGCATGTTACAACAGTCATCGACAGAAGCCTGAAATATTGGCGGTGGAATGAACATAGGGAGCTAAAAGATGCCCTTCTCAAGCGATTGCAATATTTACATCAAGTTTCACTCGATCTCAGCGTTCTTCACACTAGCGACCTTAATAGTGATAATAAGAGATATGAGACTCTTTTAAGCAACCTTAATTTATTATCAAAAACTTGGAAAATCGATATGTCTAATGTAAGAGATAAAAAAACAAGAAGTTGATAATGAATATTTTAATTTGTAAATAGTGTACATTGCTCAGTTTGTAAAGTACCTATGTTATTTATTTTTAGAAAATACAGACTTATAAATATGTTGACAAAGTCATGAATTTTATTACTTTATTTACCATATGTTATTTTAGAAACATGGTCATTTTTGTAGTTTGTTTATAATCTAGAATTCGACGTCCTTTCCAAAGAATGAAAGTGTATTTTGCTTAGTGCTGCTTCTCCAACCGCGAACTAAGCTCAGAATTGCTGATATTGCTTTCGTTTCGTATACCTCTGGAAACATAACGAGACAACATATTTAATATATAGACATCCCGTTATTGCGATTTGATGACGATATAAGTCAACGAGAGTACCTCTATCTCAAATTTGAGCATTTGAGCGTTCAAATTCCAAGTTGTTACACATATATTGTTGTAATTTCACTGCCTATTCTTACTCATCAACTGAAACAGCTTACAAACCATCTGTTAAGAAAGAGGTACCTGCGGATGAATTTTTAATCTCCCTAGGTTAAATAAATTGAATTATCTGTTGAGTGTATTTATGTTCCCGGTATATTATGGCATAAGTTTATGTTTCTAAGTCAAATTTTGTTAAATATAATATTATTAAATAAAGCACCTACAATGTAATAATATAGGTATAATGTCTGTAGGTAGTTACTTAATTTTGTCAACTAACCAAGAATGGTATGATCTGTATAGTTAGGATAAATCTGATGATACGGTTTTATTAAAAATACTAGATCAATCCCAACCACACCGGTGATATAGTCGCTAAGTGTGCCAGCCACGCGCTCGTCACTACTACTTTGATGTACCTGTAATTAGAATCTTAATACATTATATATTAATTACGAGTGTTATCTGTTACGGGGCGGCAGCACCAACGATACACAAAGACTAATCATTTCTTCTTTCACTTATTTTTCACTTCGAACGTTTAAATCGAACAGGGCTATCTACACAATATGGTGGTTCTGTTTTCAAAGTTAGTAGGCAGGTCAAATCAAAACTTAAAAATAAACATGATTATATCGAACTTCTAGAACATAAATTTTGTATCATAATTATTATTAGATTTAATCTTTACTATTTATATATTTACTTTAAGTTTATAAGCATGAATCATATTAATTAATTAAAAATATATTGTGGTGGTTACCTCACTCAAACTAGATGGCGTTGTAGTCACTGAAATTTGCTTTAGCACGCTAGCAAATGCTTGTCGTTGTTGGTAATAATACATGGGGTAGTCAGACGCATTAATCAATTATTTATATATTAGTCAATTATCGAAGTCATGGTGAACACAATATTTGATATATCAATATTTCGCTGGGTATAACGGTATACCCAACGATGGGATGAATCAACGTGTCAGGGGGCCCGGAAACCGCAATTAGGACTGATATAACGAAATAATTATTCATTATTATATCAATGGACAGACGGTCTTCGTTGTTTGCTATGATTCTCGAATTACTTACGTTACAGGGGCTAATAATGAGAGTGGTTGTGTGTTACAGAAACTATAAAATTATTAAAATTAAAGCTGTACCTTACCAATTCTCATTCCCCAAGTCTAGATATTAAAGATCAAAGATTCATTTTACTTTCCTTTAATTGTTTATTAACTTACTATTTTTATTTTTACCTCAAACAGTCGTCCGTCGGGCAAACGTGATTGTCTCGCAGCATACTCGCCGATATCTTGTAAAGTGCGGTAGTTGCTCGGGTGGCGAAGAGAGTAACGCCAAGGATACAAAATAAATTCCTAAAATAATATTTTTTTATATAAATATTGTGGAATATTGCATATAACTGTTAAACAGATGTTACTGATATAACTGTTAAACAGGTACCTAATTTATAGGTATTTAATTTGAGCTGTACATATATCTAGTAAATAAGTTCCTATATTTATAGCTTCATATAGTCAAGTCAAGCTTCATATACCAATACATCTGAGACCGTATGTACATAGCTATGTACTATATACCGCAGAAATGCTGGATATGCTTATTAGGAATGGGAACTGCTTGTTGGATAAATATGGAATGGTACACCCGATTGCAATATCAAAATACGGCAGCGAGGTAATCGTGGAATACAATAGAAAGGACATGAAGTATTTTAAATAGTAGGTAAAGAGCAAAAAAATGCGAATACTTTAGTAAAAATTTTGAAAAACTACTTGTGAGTTTTTATTTTGTATTTAACATGGGAAATACGATTTTTTTTTATTATTAAATTAAAATTTCGTTGTGCATAACTGCCTTTATTTTTTTAAAACAAAGCATATTTTTTATACTAACAATAAGAGGTGACAAGCGTGGTCCAATATTAGTGAATATTACCTATTAAATTAAGAACCCCGATTTTGGCAAGATTTTTGTATATAATTGAAGATAAGCCTTAGGAGATATAAAATGAGCCGTATCTAATTTAAAGCTGGCAATAGATCCCTTTTTATCGTTTCGAAAATCTTCAAAAAACCAAAAAAAGGGCTACGCACGTGGGGGTGTGTGTGGGATTATTACTTAAAAAACCACACGGTGTACTACTATCGCAATTAGCGGAGTTACGATGTCGCATTTGTATTCTAACGCGACTCGGGTGGCGTTGGCTCGCCCTGGTCGTTCTTATAGGGCGATTTTGCCCTATGGGAATAGGGCGGATTCGTATATAAAAATATGATAATACTTCGTCCAAACGACGACGGTATCTACCTATTTGCATTTCACAAATACGTAAAATATCCTAAAGTGTATCTTAAAAAATAAATTGAATTTTTATACAAAATATCTATTTCCATTTTGAATTTAAACGGTACCTACTGAATTTCAAAATTGAAATAGATATTTTGTATTTTGCGTTTCAAATACTACATATATTATTTTAAAACGTCACATTCCTGAATAATTTTATTTGGGGACTAGTAGCCCTATTGTTAGAAATGTAATGTTAGGTCATTATCAGCGCAGTACTCTCTGAATTAATCGTGGTTAATATCTGATGAAACATGTAATGCATACATTGTCTAACTAACTAGACTTCAGCTAATCTGTCATTCTCCATAGGTGCCCGGACCCGTAGTATCTACACAAACTACAAACTGAATATCGTAAGTAGGGGTTAATACATTTTAATATATTTATCATACTCTTATCTGGCTCATCTATCGATTTATTAAATTATCGATTTATGACGCACTTCCACATATTATTATTGAAAATTTTATGCATAATATCCTGCATCAAAAGTTTATTGTTAGACTTCAATTACTTATAAGTATGTACCTACTTAAGATATTTATAATATAGGTGTAACATGCTAGTTGTGCCCGTGGTTTCACCCGCATGAAATGTATACCCTATGTGTTATTTTGATGTAGGTATAATCTATATTATTATAGAAGTAATGAGAATAGGTACGTAGGGTATGTTTCTATATGACATAAGTACTTTAATAAGTATAAAGTTATTTTATACCCACTATTTTTAAACAGATAATATGCCATGTTTTGTGTAATTCTTAGATATGAGAAAGGAGAGCAAACAAAATAAAATAACAACTTGCCTTTTTAGGAACAAAACTGGCATGTAAATGTATTGTTAAATGTATTAGGTCTCCAAGACTATGGACGTAGTTGCGAATCGCCTGCGCTTCGACTGAAGAAAACGGCTTATGCCCAGGATAATACTGTGAGCATTCATTTGGAGTTTTGTTCACATCGTCTATAATATAAACAAACGAGGAATTCATTAATATCATAATTAAATGGTCAAATTAATAACATATGTAGATACTTTGACCGAAATATTAAGCATTCATTAAAACTTTTAACTTAAACATTTAACGATTTAATGACGTAAAAAACACATAAACAATAAATATCTACATGCCGTTTCTAATTTGTAACCTTGTTTATTAACCATTATATTCGTTTAATTATATCTATTTTCAAAATTCAAATTTAGGTAGAGCTACATAGACTATATATTTTGAAGTTCTTTCACTCAAGGTTGTGTAAGTATCAGCGACTGATCGATTGCGAAACACTGTTCGACCATTTCTGCTTACTAATAATAACGACATAGCCAATACCTACAGTTACTTATATATATATTGCAATACTTAGGTACTTTTAGGTAGGTATAGACAGATATCATGTGATAGTGGATCTTTAGGCGCCTCAATGGCTCGACCAACCTTCACGGAATTTAGCATTACACGTAGTATTTAGGAAGGATACATACATAGTCTGCTTTTTATCGTCTTGCTTACGAGTATGTGGACACGCGGCCGGTCGCAAATAGAAACTAGTTATCTATCGGTAAATGAGTATTCCGCTTACACATTGGTCAAAAATGATATTTTGATAAAAAAGTATATTTTTTTTTTTATTTATTTATTAGAAACCAACAGCGTTACAATTTCATTTACATTAACTTATGTTGTAAAATTAAAGCTACTATAGGTTTCACTTAATTAACACAAAGTATGTAGTATTGGCTTGCGCTAAAACAAAATAACAAAATAGGAAATCAAAGAAATAAACTGAACACATAAAAAAAAAATGAATTAAATAAATGATTGAATGAATGAGTGTGGAAGCTATACATCTCCATATAATATATACTACACACTGATGCCGGTAATTTGTCCATACAATGTATGCAGTGTGCATATTATAGATACTAGACTATCGCTTCGTAACTGTCACTTATATATTTAACAATGTGCTTTTTAAATGTGCCCTTTGTGTGAAAAAACAAGTCCACGTCATGAAATTCGTTATTGTATACACGAGGAATTCTAGCGAGGGGTGAGTTAGTTGCATAGTTTGAGGCACGGCGAGGTACTGCCAAAAGCGGGGTGTGCCGTGTGCGGCGCGACGGTGTACGGTAAGACACGGCAGCTACCAGCTCCTCGCAGTCAAAACGACCACGTACGATATCGTGAAGTAGACACATATCCAACACTTTACGTCTATCTTCTAGTGTGAGAAGACCATGCCGATGGCAGTCCTCATTATAAGAGGTAGAGGACACACGAAGCCGATAATTGAGATGATTTACAAATATCCTTTGTATTCGCTCTATACGGTTTTTATACACTGAATATTGCGGTGACCATACCTGGCTTGCGTATTCCAAAATGCTACGCACATAGGCATAATACACGGTTTTAATAGCCTGTACGTCAGTAAAATCTTTACAAGCACGAATTATAAATCCAAAATTTTTATATGCTTTGTCTACTATATTATCAATATGACTATTAAGTAACATTTTGTGATCAAAAAATACTCCCAAATCACGAACTACATCAGATCTGACAATTGCTATGTTATTAATATTATATGTATATACAATAGGATTCGTTTTACGCGTGTAAGTAATACATTGACATTTTTTTACATTTACTGTTATTTGATTCTCTAAATAATATTTAAATAGTTTATTTAGGTCCGATTGCAGTCGAAGGCAGTCCGATTCAGAATTGATCCTGTAAAATATTTTTTTGTCATCGGCATACATAAGATAATCAGCATATTCCACACTGTTTACTATGTCGTAAAGATATATAGGTATATGTACCTACGTACAATCTATAAGGTACGTATCAATGTAAATAACCTTGCCAGTGATATGCGAAGTTTCGGTTAATGTTGGTGCCGAAACATGTTACTTGTTCATTGTTCTTGTCTATGTTCTTATGCCAGATTGATGGACGTGTGATGTTCCTAACTGTCGCATTTTTAGACCATTCGTCAGCTCTAAATGAAGGGCGTGTACGCAGATTTTGGGTAAAATCTATACCGTCAGGGTTCGCCATTGGAATCAAATACCTGATAAAAATAGGCAAAGTTTTAGACATGCATAAAATACAGATAACAAAGTTAACATATTCAGTTTACTATGTTAGAAGTTGTGAATACCTATATATAAGTGCCTGTATGTCACGAGTATTACTGGACAAAAATAATTAAGAAACTATGGAAACATAATTATTATTGATAATACCGCCTGTATATACTAGGTACACTATATTGGTTGACAAAAATATATATAAATTAACATCAATGAGTTTTTGATGATACTATATATTACAAGTTGCATTGCTGCAAAAATAATATTTATTTTTCGTTTTTCTTTTATGAACATTTTTATTAACAAAAGAAAACTTATAAGCTACGTATGAGTTTATATTATTTACATTTACCTACTTACCAATCGTAATCATTAAAAAATGGAGTTTGGTAATTAGAATCATAAAGTAACTTTTCAGCCAATTCGATCACTGCATTCGGAGCTCCCCACGCCATGCCATTGAGTGCTGCAAATAATTGAGGACTGAATATAATTATTAGTGCTTGTTCTACATCAACATACAGTCACAAATGTATCTAATATAACATTTGTGGGTAGTCAGAGCTATTGTCGATTGCCGACAATCCGGTGAACGCAGCACTTGAAATGCCTACAATTAGTAAGTATACTATAGTATTTAAACAAAAACAAATGTTTCCAAATTATTACGGTACTTTACAGCTATCATAACTTATTATAACATATTTAGCCCAAACGCATATGGACGATATACGGTATTTTTGTTTAGCTTTTTATACAATTAATGTTTTCGAATTTATTGGAAGTTTGATACTGTCCAAACAAGCGTTATATACTGTCTTACCTAAAGCTATAAAATACGAAAGGGAGACGAAAACATTTATCTATTACATCATTATATATTCGTTACAACGTAATACATTACAAGTAGGATATACCTAATAGGTAATCGTAAATATATAACAGGTAAAATATGGTTTAATAAAAAATGTGCATATCATTTATTTAATCACAAAGATATGAAAGTTTATGACAATAACATTATGTTACCTACATAAACAAAACAAAGAGGAACTACGTCTTTAGTACTAATATCTATTATTCAGGGAATCGATAATTTGATAACAATAGATAAACGTTAACCCCTCTTATTTATAAGAATGTTCTATGATGATAGGTATTAAAACGTTTTCTCCTTTTCAATCAAGCTACTTTTTTAATTAGAAAGAAAATTATTGATTACTCTAATAATGAAAATAGGTTTTGTAAGCGGTTCAGGTTTTTATTGTTAAAGCGGAGGGTAGTAATTTCTTTGTTAATTTAAGTATTCACAACCTGATCAAAACGTTATTAATGGTTTCGTATTTTTATATACATGTTTATATTTATGAAAAACTATGCAACGATAACAGAACGACAATAGTTCACCCCGAGATTTTATGAAATCCTGTAGAAAATATTTATTTCATTGCATAGCCTTAAAACATATGTACTATGTAGCGTGCGAAAATCAACTAGACTCCAGAAAAAATTTCTGTCTTTCCTATATAAACATTTTAATTTTATTTTCAGTTAATCATTTACCTGCAATGACGAGTATTCCCGGTTTCTTGCTTTGTAGATCGTTATGTAATTCTAAAGCAATAATGCTTCTGTTTTCAGAAGTGACTGGCTTTAAATACAACAAGCGGGCGCTTTCAGAGTCACTATAAGATATTCGTTTAGTTACAGTTAACAAGGCCTCGTAGTTAATATATTGTTTATATTTTATTTCATCTCCGATACTTCTCATTGTTCTTTTTCTCGCACCAGACCTTAAGACAATGAATAAAATATTTCTACAGAATCTCTTGGAAGTAAATGCATATAAATGAAGTAATTACCAAATTGCCAAATATTATAATATTATATTTAATATATTAAACCAATGTAATTTAGCCAGAATATATTGGGTACTGGAAGGTACAGAGCAATAACTTACTGTTCAAAATTTCTCGGCGGAAATAATACCATGAATAAAATTCCAGAAAAATACAATACTGTTAATAAAGAAACTTTAATCTGCAACAGCATTGTTTGGAAAGTAAAATGTTTGTATGTACACAGTAACAAAATGGTGTATATATGACACTAAGGCGTGACATGATTATATTAGCGTATCGGTAAACAACTGTCGCTGAAATGTTTGTTTTTATTAGAAACTTCTTTATCAACCATATTACTATTTGATCATTTTTTTTTCTATATCTGCTTAACAGCACAGATATTGAAACGGTACAGGAGTGATATATTCCGTGTTCTTATATAATAATCTACTTGATAGTTTAATATTACGTCTTAGTGTATTCGCACACTTTTAAAGAAAAAGAACTTTTCATTCTATATATTTAAATAAACATGTAAAAGGTAGTTCGTTCAACTTGTACCAACGTATACATTAACTATTTCGAATAAAGGCATAATCACGGCCTATTCACGTGAATATCACTAGCTATGATAGGTAATATCACTCGCCCCCTCTATAGTATGACGTGTATTTTCTGTTAGTACTACATAGCCCCATGATGTGTCATTGTTTAAGCGCCACTGGTATTACCTAGTTAAAGAACCATAAGTAAAATATACATATATCTAATCTATACGCTTAATTTTTACTTCTTACACAAATTTTGAGTAAAAAATACAATGATTCGCTTTCTGTTGTTGACTTTAACGACATTTTGTAAATTTCTATTTCTTTGAATCTATAGCCTTAATTATATTATACTACTACTAGCTGTGCCCGCGGCTTCACCCGTGTAAAATTTATAAGTTATTTGTTAGTCTGATGTATAAGCTATATTGTTGTAAAGGTTCATTAAAATCCGTTCAGTAGTAACAAACATCCATCCATCTATTCACACGAGAGTCTGAGCCTTCACGACTATCGTGATTACCAACTAAACCACGGTCGGTCTTAAGAAACTACTTGCATACAAAAGGGACGAGGTAACTGTTATATAGTAGTACACATCCCAAAGAAAAGCATGACTTATAGCTGTTGGATGTCATAAGGGATAACGGGGAAGGTATGACAGTTGGTAGATATGGTAGCTGTATCTTTTCAAGCGACTTTTATATCTTGTCTTGGTAGTTAGTACCTACGCATAAACCGCATATCTATATGACAGTCGCGGGTTCAAATCCTCCCATTATACAAACATATTGATTTGAGTATTTACTATGTAGATTTTGTATGTAATAATAAAAAAACATATATTTATGTATTTCTATTAGTTGTACAACATCTTCACTCTTCAATCATCTCAACAACTCTGCTTATTTTAGGACTACGTGAATTGTCCTGGTTCACTATTATTATAGAATATACTATACTAAAGGAGTGTACCAAGTATTCATATAGCTTGTGAACATCGTTCTATTTTCTCCCTTTAGCTATCTCCTTACTTTGTATCGCCGCAACCGATAGTGCAGACGGATGCTTCAATCTATATTCATATATTGAAAAGTCGTTACTGACAAAGAATTTTTATCACTTTCCTATTTTTCTGTAGTGAATGAATTGTATAAAAATGTAGAATAAACATTTATTTTTTTTATTATTCATACATTTATTTGCACCAGACACAGAGTATTAATTAATATAAATATACATAGGTACAATCATAAGTACAAAATTTGGCCTAAACGCTAAGCAATCTCTATTTATTAATATTTTAGTTGTGATTTTAACACAAAGGTATATTATTTTATTTTATTATATCCTTTCATAATAATCTGAAATAAATTAATAACATACATAACTATGTTCTAATTACATAACAATATTGGTAGATATCAGAAACCACGTAGGTACATTGCAAATAATTATCTAGTTTAATCTTGGGGAAATATCAAATCATAATATAATTTATCTTTTTATTCATTTATTGGAAACGATAATACATTTTGAATCTATGTATTATACTATTAATTTTATAAAACCGAGATAATAGAAGTAATTTTAGATAATCCACAGCGGGTTCCTTGAATTTGGGATTGATCGACTGGACATATTTGCACTACCTAAAATAGTTGTATTGATATTAAAATGCTTGTTTATGGTTTGAATAATTTTTAAGTCTTCTTATTACTATATGATGTAAATCATTCTTGAAAAGTAAGTGAATATTAGCTATGATAACAAAATGTACATAGGGTAAGTATAAATCTCTAAGTGAAAAAAAGGCGGGAAACATAGAATTTGGTGGTCGTGTTTTTTTGATAAGATTTAAATAAAAATTTAATAGTGATCAGTTAAGTTAGAGATTGTAGATATTTTCACTCTTTTATATATATTTTATTTGTTTATTAGTGTAATTATAGTAGCTGTAACATAGGTAAGTCATAATTATTTAATTTATATATGGACCCTCCTGAGGATCCTGGGGGCACAGGCCCTCAGGTGGGCCTCCACGTAACTATTAGCAATAATGAAAATGATTCCATGGATACTGATTGCTCTTTTACCCTAGTGGAGAATTTGAAAATTAAACGAAAACGTATATCTGCTACTCATGTGTGTGTAAACACTGTAACAAAAAGCGAAGAAGAAATCGCGGTTCTAAAGGAAACTCTAAAAATCAAGAGAACACTTGTCAATGCGCTGTTGTAAATGAAGGTGATCAACCTTCTTCTAATACATGTACAAATATAGAGGATAATGAGAATAAGGTCGAGCAACCTCCTGTGACATGTGCAAATAATGAGGATAAAATGGATAATGCTGGTTCAAGTCAGTTACGACCATCAGTAGCTAGGCTTTATTATCAATCAGGTGATGCGGCACCTTATGTAGTCCATATCCAAAAGGAGCAGTCTTCGCCGGATGACAGAATTACTGTACACCCAATTGCCTTTGGTCGCCTCTCAAAAAATTGTGCTTATAAAAATGTTATTAATGGTAGTTTGAAAAAAATTGGTAGGAATAGACTAGCTTTGTCATTCTCTAATTTTATTGATGCCAATTCCTTCATTGACTGCGACCGTTTAAAACAACAGAACTATAAAGCATTTGTCCCCTCTTTTAATCTTACTAGAATAGGAATTATTAAGGGTGTTCCCTCAAACTGGTCCCCTGAAGAGATAATAAGTAACATTTCTGTCCCACTTGGCTGTGGAGAAATACTTAAAGTTAGAAGGATTAGACGTAAGAATATTATTAATGGTGAATCCATATTTGTTGACACAGAAACTGTTATTATAACTTTTGATGGTCAAATACTTCCTAAACGTGTATTTATGTGTTACAACTCATTACCTGTAGATATTTACATATACCCAACAATACAATGTTATAACTGTTGTCGATATGGTCATGTTAAGGATCAATGCCGTTCTACACCACGGTGCTATAAATGTAGTAAAGGACATTCAGGTGAAAACTGTACGCAGCAAGAAGACTTCTGCTGCTGTCTATGTCGTGGTGATCATCAAGCTAACAGTAAAAACTGCCCGGAACTATGGAGACAAAAAGCAATAAAAGAAACTATGGCTAAAAGCTGTATATCTTATGCAGAAGCCAGCAAATTGCATGGTCCTGTAACAAAATCATATGCTGACACAGTTAAAACTAATTCTTCTATCATAACTGCGGAACATTTAAATAATACTAAACCCCAAAATACTCTATCTTCTAATATAATCAATAGATCATATAAAAAAACCATTGTACAAAAACCCCGTCAATCTCCAAAATTATCACATGGTTATGATGTAAACATGCATAAGCAATTAATAAAAGATTATAATCCTCCTACTCCTGCAGATGGCTGCGGTTATAAATCTGTAGCTGATCAGAATTTACCAAATCAATTTACAGAATTAATCATGGCTTTAATTAAATTACTGACTGAGTCTAATTCTATTGTACCGTCCAACGCTGCTTCTCTATTTAGTGCTCTTCTTCAAATCTTCAACAACAATGGCTCCATTGGCCAAAGTTCTCCAGTGGAACTGTCGTAGTATTATTAATAAAAAAAGTGAATTATTTCATATTTTAAATAAAAATAAATCTTTTATTTGTGCCCTTCAGGAGACATGGCTGAAACCCATATCTACTATACTCGTCCGACATTTAGTTCCTTATTCACATATACCTATTGATCATAGCAGTAATTTTTCCATATTAGCTGTCCAAGTTAACAACATTTGTTATGTATCTTTATATATACCTCATCCATCAACTTCTATTTTTAATGAACTTAATAATATTCTTTCTGCCCTTCCCAAACCTTTATTAATACTAGGAGATTTAAATTCACAACATCAGTCCTGGGGTAGTACAACAAACAATTCATATGGCCACCAAGTTTTAGAAATATTAGATACCCTTAACCTGTGTGTATTAAATACTGGCCAACCTACACGTCGTACTCCACCTAATGAAGGAAATAGTGTTCCTGATCTTTCCATCTGTTCACCTACTCTTGCAACATCCCTTACTTGGTGCCCCTTGTCACTGTCATTTGGAAGTGATCATTTTCCTCTTATTATTTCTTTTCCTTTTATTGATAAACCACTACCAAAATATGAACCAAGAATGAAATATAAGCTAAATAATGCTGATTGGGATACTTTCAATAACGTCATTGCATCTAAAATCTCATCACTGCCTATTATTACTCAAGGCACTGAAACCATTTGCTCTAATGCATTCACTGAAGTATTAATACAGGCTGCTAATGAAGTTTTTCCTAAAAAATCTTCTTCTAAGAATACAATACCTTCACCACCATGGTGGGACAGTGAATGTACTGAAGCTATTAGGAAAAGAAAAAATGCTGAAAAACAATACAATTTACACTCTACATTGGAAAACTTTGAAATCTTCTGTAATATATCCAGAACTACCCGTAAATTGTTAAGGGATAAGAAATTAACAGGTTGGAAGAAATTCTGTTCATCTATTTCTCCCAATGTGAATGCATCTATAGTCTGGAATAATATAAGAAGATTTAGAAGTGCATTCCACGATTCTAAATCAAATGTACTTCCTCCTCATATGGTTGAATGTTTCCTAGACAAGTTAGCCCCTCCCTCAGTTCCTGAAAAAGTTTTGTTGGATAAAGTTGTAATTACCTCTGATATAGATAATTTCTCTAAATTAAATGCTCCA